TTTTAAACCAAAGGTAACCAAAGGTAAAATTATTTTTCTTTATACATATATTTCGTTTTCTTTATATATATATATATATATTTTCATTATAGAATATGTAAGACTGTTTCGCTAAAATATTGCTTTCTTTCTTCCTGTATAATAAATAAAAAAATATTTATATAATACGAAATAATATACATAATAAATACAATAATATAAAATATTATATATAGTAATAAAAAAAAAATATTTATCTTCGCTCAGTGTTGCCACGTTATCTCTCTACTTGCGATGAAAAACCGGTAATCTTCAAGTAATTTAAGTCGAACAAGAAAAAGATACTTTCGAAGGTTTTGGATTCTGGAAGTTATCGCTACGTGATCCGATTACGCTGCAGCCGGTGGACAAGTTTCGTTCAAGGTTTTCTTGCAAATTACGACAGCTTGTTATCCGAATGGCCCGATTCTAAATAACAATGCCACGGATCTACAGTCTGAAACAGTTCGCGGGATGAATTATTACTATGGACGTGAAATTCAGCCTACGAATGTCCGGCGAGACCGATGTTTCCGCGACAAAAATTTATTAAACGGGTGGGCCGATCAAGTGGCGCGAACTCGGGCAAACGTGGCCTCCAGCTACCGAGAAACACACGTTCATTCTCATTCCGCGTGGCCCGCGAATTAGACTTGAATGGAATAATAAAACTTATCGAAGGAAAAAGAGAAAGAAAGAAAGAAAGAAAGAAGCGTATCTTTTTTACGAAGCGGAGAGATATCTCGCTGGCTGGCGAAGAATCCAAAACGCTGCCCGCGAGAGGTTAGCCGTTTTTCTTGCCCTTGCCCCTTCGCTTTCTTTTCTCATCGTTACGTTTCACCGCTGCACCGAACGGTTTCAAATGAAAATGCCGTAGAGGCAGCACGTTTCGTGGAATCGTTCGCACTATCGTGGCTCCGAACCAGACCGGAATAGTAACGAAGAAACTAGAAACTACAGTCTGTTGGAACTTTGACTGATTTTCGATCATTGTTTCTCGTTATCAACTCGAGCATCTCGATCACGGAGAGAATCGTATTGTTGGACGTAAGAAGGGAGTTCCTTCAGGCAGCTCGGGCCTTTCTTGAGTGGAAATGATTCTATACACGTCTTGTAAATCTAAAGAGTTACCAGAAAAAAATCTTACAAGTCAATGTTAATTTATTACTCAAAGGTGTATTCAAACCAGTGAAACTGATGTATCAAGTTATAGTATCTACGATTTAGATAGAGTGTTATGAGCTATTTTTTTTCAAAAATAATTTCTTCTTAAATTTCAACGGGACAAAAGAATTTTTTCCGAGATGGAATAACTCTTGAACATTTAAACAGAAAGGTTGTTCAATTAAAACCGCAATAAAATCGATTTCTATTGGAATTGCTTAGTCCTCGGTCGAAAGAACATAGATCATTTTTCATTATTCACCATGTTGTAAATGTTGATTTCAAGCGTGATATAATGATGCCATAAACATTGAATAGGTAAATTGCTTCGATTAACAGGTTGTTCCAAAGCAATTAGATTCATTAATTAACGAGAAGACGGTTCAATTGACACGGGGTCGTGGCAAGAATGGGAAAGTCACGGGACCTCAGTTGCTATTATTAGCTGGGACTGGATGGACATTGCATTAATTTTCGTTACTTCAAACCGAAGCTCGTGTGCTGGAAGCTCGTTCTTACAAAGAACAACGGATACCTCGATTTCGTAAAGGTGATTCACGCACGAACCAATGTGGAAAATTCCCGGAGTTTCGAAAGAACAAAGAATAAGAAATATATATACCTAAGTGTAATATCTTTACAAACGCCGGCACCGGGATGATCCTTGTTCTATTTTTCGCAATAAATTTCCTCGCCGGCGTGGCCGTCAGTTATCCAAAGCGCGGCTTTGAACACGCGAATTCCAATGCAAAAACTTTCAACCCCCGAGATTCTATTATAATAAAATTACGGCACGCGTAGTTTTCTAAGAGCCCTCGGCCGGCCAGTTTCCTTCCTCCCTTCTCCTTTCATCCGCAGGCCTTCGAAAATAAATATCAACGAATTAATAGCGGGCCAACACCCAGTCGACGAAAAAAAGAAAAAAAAGGAAAGAAAGAAAAAAGAAATGAAGGGTCGATAAAATAAATCCACGGGAAAATGTTGAAGGCGTTCGACTCTGGTATCCCGGAGGGCAAACGTTCCGCTCTTCCGAGTCTCCTTCCTGTTTTTATTTTCCCCTCTGTATTATATACACATAGTTGGATCGACAGAGACGCTCCGCGTCTCACTCCGACACACTTTCCTTCGGGCTTTTAAGCGTTACGCGTGCTTGGCTCGCCCTCCCACCCCCTCGCGCGATAATGGACTATGCTTTTTAAAGTGCTTTAACACCGGCTATTATCGTTTTGCAACCGGTTCACCGACGTCCAGCGCCGACGGAATTCCCTGGCGCTCAATCGTCTTCCTTCCATCGACTTTCCAACGACCAGTCGATAGCAGTCGATAAGGATCTCTCCCCGGGCGGAAACTTCACGCACGCCTAGACTGTCCATTTGTCCTCCCTTAATTCACGGTCGTAAACGATCGCGTAAATCACACGGAATTTTCAATTCGAACTCGGACGCGACACACCCTTCCCGAAACCCGAATGTGATCCAACCTTTTTTTACGTTACACACCGTCTGATTGGCAAAAATGAAATCGAAGAAATTCGTCCTTTTCGTTCGGAGGGTGTGGAATTTTTTTCGTGGGAATTGTACGTGGGATTTGCTCCTCCGAAAATGAGTATTTTGAAATTATTAGTATGTTGGTATATCGGGAAATAAGTATTTTAAGACATTTTTAAGATATTCTTGTAATTATTGCCATTTCACTATAAAAAGATTGCCATTTTCTTTTAGATTAATAAACGTTATTAATGACCATTTAATGAATATTAAGGGAATGTCACGTTACGTGACATATATCATAGAAAATTTCTGTCACATGTCCGCGAATATTTTCGCGAGTCGTTATAAAGAAACAATACTTTGAAAATTATGAAAATATTGAGAAAAGTACACGTTTAGTTTTAAAACCAAACAGGAAAAATTTTAAAACAAAATTGCTCCTACAGAAAGTACAAGAAATAGCCAATCTCATATTTTTATATTTTCTAATTAGTGGAATGATTGAAATAAATCGATGAAAAAATTTTAAATAAATAGATAATATATATAAAAATTTTAAATAACTAAATGATATACCATAAAATGAAAAATATGCTTCCATTGCAATTTTATTATAATGTATTTTGTGAAAAAGTAAAAAATAATATTAGTAACGAAATGTTTATTTATTTTTGAAAAAGTCAGAATCTCTTTTTATCGTCCTCTACAATTGGTGAAACATTAAAATTCACGATTAAGTTTATTTGCAATAAAATTTGCGCCTAAAAATTGCTTTCAATGAGAACAACATCCGCAAAGGGTGTGCGCCAGATTAATCCTTCGAATTTTCCATTACTTGGCCATTATTAACTCGAATTTAAATACCTCGTGGCGATCGATATTGTCAATATTATTAGATTGTCGCAGATGAAATAGTAAAATTTTTAATATAAATTCCAGCATCTATAGTTCTCGCAAAAATAATATTAATCATATTTGAGTTCCATATATTCGATACATTTCGTCCATTATGAAATAATCTCACAATGCTCATAATTAAAACCTTTAGTCAGTCATTCTTGATAAGTTTGTGATCCATTTGATTCATTCGCACGAATGTTAAGTTGTTCTACTGACAACTTATCTATATTATTATTAATTATTTCTAACTTTTATTTTTAAAAAATTCACTGCAGTTTGATAATTATTCGTAGTTTAGTATTCATTTCGTTCATTATAGTTTAACCGTTGATTTACCTCTTCACAATAAAACAACTGACAAAATATCGATCGTGTTGAATTCGATAGACTTCAAGCTATCAATCCTCGGACGGGTCGAAACACACAGACTCCTAGAAAAATATTATTTTAATTCTTTTCCCAATACAGAATTATACATACGTTAGAATTGTTATATCTCAAATACAACAACTTACATTAATTATTATCATTGCAAATTCGTTATTCATACAGTAAGGATAGATATTAGTAATTAAATATAATTACCCAATATATTTCATAAAAAATTATTAAAATAAAATAAAAAATAAATAAAAATTATTAAAATATTCCGTGTTATGTCTCACAAGTAAACTATTGGCAGTCAACCAATGTTGAAATTGGCACGACGCGATCGAAACGAGCCGAGCGTCCCGAGTTCACGCGTTGAAAAAGTACCCCGATGAAGCGGGCCTCGTTTCTTATTTAAGGGAACGCGAGGGATAACTTCCAAGTTATCCGGGAATTCTAATCGGAAGTCAGGGAGATGGCCGGTTCGTTTGAAGCGGAGCACGAACGGCGAAGATTCTTTAATTTCGAATTCCGACGAACTACCGGGGCGAAACTCGACGATTGCTGCGGGTACTTTTAGGGAAATGAAACTCGGGGGTGGGACGGTGAAACGGCCCGCGCGGTGGAATGCTCGCGGAACATCCGGCACACAGTTAAGAAATGCTTTCACGGCGGCCTCGACACCTTGAGAAACGGCCCCCCCTCCTCGAAGAGATGAGTTTTAGGCATCGTTTGAGGATAATCGAGCGTTGAACTGGCCCACGAGGCATCCAACTCGCCTGGATGAATCGCTTCTCTTCGATGTACTTCGCGGCGCTTGTCTGCAATACATTTTCTTGATAAATGACAAACGCCACAGTACGGTCCTTTCTTCTGACATTTACAGCCCCGCGCGGTAACTAGACTGATACTTCCTGTCGACGTTAGTCATTTGATACCTGGGGAATTAACATTAATCGTTGGGCTGCGAATTTTTATGCATTTGTACGCAGAAATGCGCGGAATGTATCGTAATGGCAAGAAATATAGAAACAAACACGAAACGTGGTGTATTCGTGCAATACAATACATTCATTATACGAAATACTTCGACATTTTAAATTATTTTAAATTATTTGCAAAGATATGAAAAATATTTACGTGAAAATCCGCAGTATGCCAATGGTGTATATTGCACTGATATTATTTTCATGAAATTTTATACAATATTAACACATTTTTTGGATAACAACGTTAATAAAGATTTGAGAACGAGATAGATGAAATTTTGTAAATATGTTTTTCAAGTTATCAAAGTTTATAATCCGCAACTTTTAATCTGTGGACTCAGTTAATGCTAGAACTAGATTAAAGTTTACAAACCTTGTGCCGAGGATATTAAAGTTCAAGAAATAAGAAAAGGTTTGTAAAACGACGAAGAATATAGAATTTTACTTTAGAAGATACTTTAATAGACTATAAAAATTTATTTTATCGATGTAATCTATTAAAATACGTTGTTCTATTTGTCTATAAAATTTCGAATGAAAAATTATGAATTACGATCGTTTAGATCACTTTGATGCTTCTGTTAGTACTAGACTTGTTCAGATACCTTTCGAAATGATAACAACACCTGTTATTCTTTCTTTTCTTATATCCTCGTTATTTTTAGAGACATGGAAAAATGTTGTTAACAGAAGTTACAGCTATAATATGACAGTAATTAATTTTTCGTAAGTGAAAGTATTTCGGAAATTCCAAGATCACTTCCACTTTCTTAAGGACAATATGTTTTTTAATCCATTAATCGATACAGCTCCAAATTCTCTTTAAAAAAAATATATAGTTTGATAGATATTATTAATGATAATCGCTCGAATTCAACTACTGCTGTAATTAAACGATCTGTACTTTCAGTATTTAAAAAATATACATTGTTCTCGTCGCCACGTCATTTCAAACTTATGAAATAATAACGACGACATTGATTATTTGAACAGGAAATTTGGTAAAATATAAGTAAGGCTGGGTAATTCTTTACGTAGCTCCTAAATGAATAGTTAGTTTTTTGACACCTCTATTGAAAATTGAAAAGATAACAGTCGACTGTAATAATTAGTTAGATTAACAAACACACGAAAAAAGGGCACGTGTTGTTTAAACGATCGCGTCTATTATACTGCTGGAAATTGCGTAGAATGACGTAAAGCCAAGCAGAAGAGACTTTCCAGCTCTTTACAACACAAATTCTTATGCAAAAGAATCTCAATGTTGAATCCAAGAAAATTTGAAAGATAAACTAATCGCACAAAAGGCGATTAGCCTATCTTTCAAGTGGTTAATTTATAGTACCTTAATAAAAACTTCGAGAGACCATCTACGAGAATAAATATTTCCTTAAATGTAATCTCTTGTTTGATGACAAACCCTTTGAGAAGAAAATTCGCAATTTTCCAGTCCCTCTCTGTTTTACCACAACGTTAATCAACCATCAATTTCTTCTCCTCTTCTTTTCTTGTTCGCTCAAAGAGTTACAAATTTCGCAGTGACTGGCCGGAAGAAACGAGGCAAAATCGGACGATCGGTGATGCCGTGATTCAACCCCGAAATTAACGAGCGGAATTTCCATTCGCATCCTCGTCCCCGTGGCTTCTTCATAGGGACCCGTTCCGTGGCGGTGTAGAGGGCTCACGTGATCACCGTGGAGAACACGTCGAGCACACTTCTGCGGCATTCTGGATAAAGGGCGTGGCAGTTTTCCGTCGACATCTGCTCGCCCAAACGTTCGGCCGCGCGGTACTCACGATCCCCGTACTCGTCGTAACGTTCCTCGGTGCTCGAAGGCCTGGAATTCCAGCGAGTTCGCGTTCGAGTTTCACCGTGAAAAATTACAATCGTCGCCGCGAGAGATCCAGGTCTGGGAAAGAATTCGGGATAGAAGGAGGGAGGGGGAGTGAGAGGCAGAGAAAGAAGGAAATAGAGAGGAGACGAAAGAGAGAAAGGAAGAGAGAGAGAGAGAGAGAGAGAGAGAGAGAGGAAAGGGTGAGCAGAGAGCAGAGCAGAGGGTGGCAACCGGGATCGATAACGCGACCGGATACGCGGGAGAAGCCCCGAAGTTATTTCGCAGCTTCCCTCGCGTTAATTGGCGCCGCGTTATGCAGACCAACCGCTTAATCTCTCAGCACTCTGCTAATTCACCGGTTAACTACTACGTCATCGTAACTTGGCTTTTAGTGCCATCGGTTCCGGGGGAGGTTTTATCGTGTTGCCCCAACATTCATCGCTTTACGACGTGATCGAGACTTTCAGTCCAAGTCACATTGTGTTCCGTTTAAGGGGTTGAAAATTGATTTCGCATTGCTGCGGCCCTGAAGGCGGGACTTCGAGTTTTCTCGGTCTCCCGGATAGTAAAATAAAAAGGGGTTTGCAGTGATTTCCTAAGTTCAAAATGTGGGTTTTGCCTTGACAGATTTTCCGATCTGTTCAGATTAGTTCAATAATTAATAACAGGCTGTAACAGATGATATTGTAAAAGATGAATCGCTGTTTCATCCTATTACTCGAATGAAAATTGACATTGGGTTATTGTATTTGGTTCCGGTAAGAGGTTTGGATTAGTTATACGTAAGCTTACGTATGGATTAGAGAAGGAAAATTGGGTTTTAGTTACGACGTTTCAGCTCGTCGAATGTTTCAACTTTCTAGAAAATAATATGCATCAATAAACAAGAGCTAACAATCACATGCCATGCTAAAAATGGATATTATAAAAAATAAATCTCTATATGTATTGACTTATTGTTGAATTAAAATTAAATGGTTATATATATAACAATCTTTGTCATAAGATCTACGTGAAATGTATTGAATGAAAATTGAAGATGCTTCAAGAACAGAAGTTCCCAACTCGAGAGGAATTTCACGACTTTCAAGGGTGAATCAAGAGGTAATTTGTGATCAAGAATGAAATTTGACAGCACCGGAGATTAAATTCAATCAATAGTTTCCTAAACTTAGTAATGATCACTTGAATCTAAATCTATTCAAATTGTCGATTAAGGAAATGATCGTCAGGATAAATTTCCGTAGCTAAAAACTGATTCAACAGCAAGAGTTATGTTTGATGTAAAATAAGTCACAGAATTTTTATCCCTAATGTTGGACTTCTATTCAAAAGTAGCAGAAAGAATCATCCATACATTGTTTTCATTTATGTTCATTTGTGTCTTTGTGAGTGAAGCTTTTCAATTTTATTGCAACAATCAAACAATCCCAAATTTCCCATTAATTATTAGTTTCATCAGGATTGGGTGAATTGAATTTTTATGTCATCAAAATAAACTTACTTCGCGTACCGATATCTGAAAACATTTTTATACTTTTATATTTAAAATATAAAAATTCTTAGGGGAAGGAAACAATGGACCGTTTATTTTAAAAGTGGTATTTATTTTAAAAGTGGTTTTTTGAGAAAACAAAAAATTCACATATACTTTAATGTAAACGTTCTATCCGTGCACAATTTACAATTTAAATATTAAAATATTCATTTGTTCAAACAGGAAAATGTGCTTGCATCCCGCTCAAAAAATAAATGATCCATACGACAGAAAAGAGTACGTAGGGTAAAAAAGTTTTTGGGAACCGCTGTACTAAAGTATTCTTTCACACTCTTGGAAAACAAATATGGACAAAGATCATTTTCATGAAAACTCAAGTTAAAACTTCACTCCTAACTAACAAATTTTCATGATCGTGAATACTATGTGACACAACGGCGATTAAGCAAACAAGAGGTTAAAATTACGTACTTGAAGAAGACGTGCAACAGCTGTCCCAGTAAACCGTAACGCCCGTCGAAAGGAGCAGACGCAGCTTCGCAAATGGCCTTCAATAGGCAGGCTTTCCCGCCGAATCCGTATATACCGGCGACCTTTTCCAACGTCTTGTAAATGCTCCACCTGCTCTTCTGCGTTCGGGAGTAATAGACTCCCGGGATGGTGTAATCCGTCGCGTTGGAAGGCATGGCGTATATGATCTTCGTAAACATACCGATAATCACGCTTTCCCGTTCTAGTTGCAAGGGTGTGCCCAGCCCAAAGATTAGCTGTTTTCAACAGAATTTCGAAACAACGTGACGAACTTTTGTTACATCCTGATAACATAGCAGACTGAGAGACGAGAAAGACGTATGCGAAGAGAGAACACGTGAGATACGAAGATGCGTGCAAATTATTAGACAGATAAAATGACCAAGTTCTTAATTCTGAAGTAAATGAATTAATATATAAATGAATGATAAATTATATTTCCATTCACAGTTGGATAATCACCGACAGAAATCGTCTTATAATTTCTTCGAGCGAATTTCTTCCTTTAATTTCTCTATTCTCTCTGTTTAAGATCTCGATGTGTTCACTGCAACAATGATGATGTCAAATACACAAAATCGTGCGGTATCATATAATTTTGGCCATCGGTATAAACAATTTAACCGAGAAATATTAAACCGTAGGAAACCAATCGAGAGTGAAGAATCTCCGAAACATATATTCCACGTCGCATCTTCACTTCGCGAGATATTCGTATTTCGTGAGATTCTCCGTAACTCTTTTCGAGAACGTTCCCGTGAAATCCATCGATACGAGGTGACCACGTAGACGCCCGGCGATTCGATCAGAGAACTCGCTTATTATAGCGGTTATTCATGAGGCGAGCAGCCTGAAGGGGAAATTGGATGAACTCAGACGAGAGCGCGTTAAAATCCAGTGGTGCCCGGTGCCAAAAACGAACCGCCGTTCCGCGCATCTCTCGTTCGCTTCTGTTAAAAACAACTGTGAACGTACGTGTTCGTTAATCGCGATCCCGACTTCTCGAATTCGGCGGACTCGTAACTCTTGCGCGCACGTGCACCATAATTTGCGCGCGGTGATTTGTGCCAATTTAATGAGAGAAGCTTTGTAACTACTGTGAATAAAACGAGGAAATTGAAGAGCATTTGATGATACACGTACTGCCGCGTGTTTCCACAAATAACGCAAATCCAGTACGACTTATTTGCGATATATTATGGTGACTATTTTGTACTTTGTGTTAAATATAACTTTGTGTTAATTATAATTGATGATACCCATGCGTGAAACGAACCGTGTAAATTTTTGGGGAAAGCAGGAATAAAAGTTCATGATAGTGAGTTGGTAAGCAAGTAAAAGAATCTGTAAATGTCGAAAGAGAGTGTATTTAGATTAAAAAGTTAAATTGTTGAAACTTGTCAGTATGACAAATTACAATTTGCCTTTCTTTGCAATTGCTTGAAAGATACAGATATTCTCGTCAAAATTAATATTGATTTCTGTCTAGACAGAAGCATAATTGTACAAATCTATTTACTTTAATTATATAATTTCATTTAAATTATATAATTTATTTAAATTGCAGTGAGTATTGTTTTCTGAAATAGGACGCTTTCAAACTAGAAAACAGTTGACTCTAAATTGCAGAACATTACTCAGGGAATCAATGATCACGGGAAAGCGTCACTCGCATCCCTTCCCCTTTAGTTTAATTAACATTTAAATAGGTCACTCACGTCCCTTTAGTTTAAGTACGATTCAAATACGTCCAAATATCGAGAAACAATTTTCATTTATTTATTCATTCACTCTTATGGCTTTCCGTGAAAGCTAACATACTAATTTTGATACGTATTAAGGGTTGTTCTTAATGTTAAATTGCTGCATCCATTGACTTTGTAATAGTACGTAGTTTCGTTTCAAAGTTTCGACGATTTATGAAGAAACACTTTTTGACAATTTTTATTATTCAAATTTTTAACTGATGCAAACCTGACTAGATTGTCCGAAACATTTTTTTTTTTTTTTTTTTTGTTACATTAGCAGAAGTGCTTGAAAAATTATACCATCCTGTATGTGCATTTCGAATTAACTTCAAAGCTTACGTGTTTATTGAATATTAACGACCGAAATATCTATTTGCAGCTACATTTTGAAAGCTTTCCCAAACTGTCAGTCAATTGTTACTGATACACATGAAAATTCCCGTTTCAGTTAAAATTCATCAGAGTATTTGATCTCGTTTCCAATTTAACATTGGAAATATAATAAAACTATAAATCTTTCAATCGAATTGCACTAGGTGTGTAAATACTTGTGACTGACAGTGTGTGCCTGTGCACATTGAATTAGGATCACAAATAGTTTCAACGTTCTGTTTTTAATAAAATTCAAGGATTTGAACGAAATTTAACTACAAGTTTTATTATTACTAAAACTACCAGAGCGATGAAAATGATTAATTTGTAATTTGAAATGACCTTTTGTAAGCACTTTGGTTTGTACTTTAACATCAGATGTAATTTTTATATTTTATTTACCGGTGGTTCTAACGTTTGCTACGAAAACATAACACACTCATGTATTAATAATTTATATATCTATTGTCGTTACATATTTTATTATCGTAAGAGTAATGTTTGTAATTGAACATCAATTATAAAAGATAACCGACTAGAGAATACACTCTATTTCGATTTATAAAGATATGTCGTTGATATTGTACTGTGAGAAGGAAAATTGGAAAGAAAAAGCAGTTGTGCGTATGATATAAAATAATGAGTATGTCTAAAAGAGTAAACGCGTATAATATTACATAAGTGTATATTATATTGTATATTATAATGTTATATTTACGTATTATATGTAGCTATTATAATTACGTTATATGCGTATATATGCGTATAATAGTGTTGCAATTAACAATAGTTACATCAAACCAGCTTCTACACGAAAAAGAAGAAAAAAAAAGAATTGATTCAACGATTCACGCGCGTAGTACCTCGAGAGAAAAATTAGGATCACAGGACACAGAGAGCATTAGATTCGCAGATGCGACGCAATTAATATCACTAGCCAGAGGCAGTGCGGCGTATCGGTGGGGTCTTTGAAGTGTATCGATCTCGATTGGCAACGGGCCGGTCGGTTCGATGCAAAAACGCTTCTAGCCGTTCCCCGCGCGCGCGCGAACCCTCCGCGAATCTCGTTAAACTGTCTTCCCCAGACGCGCGCGGCCCGAAACGATTTTCCGTGGAAATTCGCGGTTTTATCGAAAATTCATACACCGGCCGCGGCCCATGATGCTGCCCTTCCCCGCCCTCTACACCATGAATATGTATGCATGCACACGTACATGCACACGGTAGCGCGCGCGTGTGCCCGATACAGGATCGAGGTATCCACCTGGCGCTGAAATTGGATGAGCCCTGAAAGGTCAGGTGGAATGTGTACCGCGATATCGGACGGGAAGATGGGAATCGAAATACGTTATACACTACACCGGGCCGCTCTTCCGAAACCGGTTATTACTTACCGACCACCCTGGTAATTGCGTTCTTAATAGGGTGAATGGATTTTTGAACCATCATTGTCGCTCGATCGTCGCGGTTTCAATCGGGCGAGTAATCCCTCTCGAATTTCACGATGAATGAATTTTTGCGCGTTGATCGCGAAGGCTAATTTTACTATAACCTGCGACTTATTTGCCCTTTTTTTCATTTCTTCGCTGTTCTTTTCTAATCTGTTAATCTTTAAGTACTGCAGGCCCTCTGCGAGACCCCGATATTTCCAAGATCTTATCCCTATTTTCTCCCCTCTCTGCGTTATTTCGTATCTTTAGTTTATAATTTTCGGTACAGTGTGATGATACTGTTGGAGTTTTCTATTATTATATATGTAAAGTATATAAGTATATGTATAGTATATGATTTTTCTATTATTAAGTATATGAGTATATGTATAGTGTATGAGTTTTCTATTATTATATATGTAAAGCAAGAATAATTTTGATGCTTTTACTCGACACTTGAGCATAGTCTATGAGAGCTCTTGTATAATAATTTCAATATCTTGATCGAGTCATTTAATCATTTAACTCCAAGTTTTTATAATTACGAAATTAAAAATTAAACGGTAAAAGCAAATCGATTTCTAACCAGATCAATCTGTATTCGTTGCAAATGTATAATGTTTTCATAATGAAAACGAACAATACACGCAGAGAGGAAAGAGATAAATAGATTACTAAACAAGATTAGTATTCAAATCAATCCCGTTCCCCATTATTCTCGATTTTCTACTTCCTTTCTTTCTCTTTATTTCTATTCTCTATTTCCTGCTTTCCATTTTCTGTTTCCCCCGTGCCCATTCTCTGCCCATCTATTTCCAAATTTTCTCTACTCTCTATTCACCGCGCCATATTTTTCATTCAACTCGGTTCCGTATGATCTCGGTTTTCGAAAAATCCTCACTTTCCCCCGGTATTTCCCTGTAACTCTCATTGCCGCTAGAGAGACTAACTCTCGCTAGATTTTTGGGGCAAACTTTAAAGAACGACGTCCCGCTGTTGAAGTTCGCTTAATTCGCGACACCGCAGCGATGGCCGAAGGCTGGCTCGTTGAAAATCCCGCGGTCATAGCGTTACAACATGCGGCCCCCGTCCAACCCCCGAGTTACCCCTGTTCATCCTATCAAGCCGCGCGTGGTTGTAATCCGAAGGACGACCGTTTCCAAACACGCTGGATGGAAAATTGGATGAGCCCCGGACATGTGGCACGGCCCCGGGAATTATTCAAGAAGCGGAGTAAACGGCGAGCGGTTTCACGCGAGAGCCATCTCCGTCCCCGCGTATCTCTTTTAGAATAATTGGGCGTACGGATGATAATCAACGGTTGCGCTCGGCGACCGTAGGTGTCGTGACAAAGCTTCCCCGGCCGTGTGCCGAGGCTTTTCAGCTGAACTGTATTAACGACTAGTCGTTTTCGGGGTTTCAGCCCCCGAGAACCTCTGTTGTGGCAACTGGATCCCGTTTCTCCCTATTGGATGATACGGGACGAATAACGCGAATTATTCGCCTAACGCGTTGCCTTGCAACATATTAATCTGTATTAAAAAAAGGCAAGTATTAATCTGTTATTTAAAAAAACGTTTCAAATTCATTCTTTCTCTGTTTCGAGGGGGGTGGTAATTTGATACACATAGTTTGTCTCTAGATAGACGCGTCTAAGTGGTAAGAAAGTCACTGTTATTTTTTCAAGCACAATTATGTAATTTCTTTTATGTCAATCGACGCAATAGGTCGCTCTCTACAGAAATACCTTTTTACGTCTAAAATCCGTCAGTTTAGAAGATATTTCTTATAAAATTTATGCAGAAAAGACAAGAACAGTATAAATACAAGTATACTGCGCTTGCTTTTCATATGATAAGCTTTATAAAATTGAAGTAATATATATGTAAATTTATTATTTTCAATAATAATAATAATAATAATATATTAAAATGTATAATTATACGCATGTAAATTTATTATTTTCAATGATAATAAATCTCCTAAATTAATAATTTCTCGATATACATAATACTTTTCTGCAGTTGCGTCGACTGACGTAAAACAAATTATATAATTATACTTGAAAAAATAGTAACAATCTATCTCCCATACACCCGTCTATCTAGAGACAAACTAACAAAGGTATACTAAATTACTACCCTCTCAAAACAGAAAGAAAAGGGATTTTTTAAGTGACGAATAGTTTTGGAAATAATTGTGACACCCTGTATATGAGAAAGGAACAGGAACATTCCGCTGTTGGGTTGAACAGCGCCAGCGCAGTGGTTTAGTCAGCTCAAAGCGGAAAGTTCAACTGTAACGCCGAGCTCTTGGAGCTTTACGACGAAGGTAATTCGCTACTATGATGTGCAAGAGTAAAAATCTGAAAAGACACATTGTCTAAAAATCTCGCGAATAATTTCCAAATTACGCGCGCTTTGTGAAAAAGGTGTAGCTAGCGTGCAAGCGCGCGCATTTTAACTCTTACAATTAGTATCATCGCGTTACACGAATGTGTTAGCGTTACGCGAATTGAAATCACTGTGCAACTCTTTTTTACTACATATATATAAAACTGCGACTGATATTCTTTCTCGGTTTCATCAAGTGCAAAATTTGCAAAATTTTTCGTTTCGTTTCAATTCAAGAATGTTCTGTCTGGAGAATAATTTTTAATTTAAAAAAAGCTCTATATTAACTGCAGTTAATTTTTTCGGTCTTTCTTCCATTGTGAATGCAATAATTCATCTATGAATATAATAATTTATAAAACGCGATAATATTATTACTTTACAAGAATTGCTTTTTCGATTCTTTATCGGTTTCTGAATAATGAAAATCGTGACCATATTAATTAATTAAACATATTAATACAATAAATTACACTGTATACGAGTACTAACACTAACGAATATCAGCAACCTAATTAGTTAAATTAGTTACTTAGCTAATAAACTAAAATAATAAGTACTATGCAAATAATTAATAAATTAATCAATTACAAAAATCATTCCCTGCCCAATTATTAGACTGACGAGATTCCAAGAACAAATTCTCGTTTATTTCTATTCTACATCTACTTTATTACCAAACTATTGGCGCGAAATTAATAACATATGTAATTTAAAATAAATGTTATCGACTGACGAGTAGAAATTCAAAGTCTTCGATACAAAACGATGAATTTATGTGAAAAAAAGGAATCAATTAAAGACTGAATACCCGATTGCATTGTGCCAGCTATAAAATGTGAAAATTATTTGGAAGATTGACTTTTTAAAGAAGACACATTTTAAAAAATCTATACGAATTATTCCAAAATCGCCAATAATCCGATCACTTGTACTTTTAGTTTTACTATCTACGAAACGACAGTATATTCCCAGTATTTATTATCCCGTATTATGTGTCGAAGTTTCTCAAACAAATGTCAAACGTGACTAAGCATCTGACACTCGCGTAGGATTGTTCCTCCGAAATCTCTTATCCCTCGGTCGCAGCCGATCGTGCAAAACGAAGCGCGCGTGCAAGAGTTACAGATGGTTCGCTCGAATTGCGACGGATCGCCGGAAGAAAAAGCGGAAACCGATCGCGAGCACTTGAACGAGGCGCGAGCGAATCCTCGATTGGCCGCGGAAAAGAGCTCATTAGCCTCGTCGAGCGAAATCTCTACGGTGTTCTGTACGTACCAGGAACTGAGATGGATCTGGGAAAACAAGAGCCCTCGGTCGCCGCGAGCAACTTGCCAACAGCTTGCTTCCATTTCTCCCCGTGAGATCATCCTTGTCCTCGAGCATCTGCGCCAGACACGGCGACAGGCAAGCGAGAGTGAACGTCAGAAAGACAGTACCAGTCATCGAAGCGACTTTTCGGGCCTGAAGCGATCGTTGAACGCCGACGGACAGGCCACGGAAAGGGAGAGGCGAACTGCAATCGCCTAGCTGTTCGAGACGAGAGCGGAAACCATCCTGAGTGGAGCGTTCGCCACGTGTTATCACTGCCTGGACGAATCGAGGAGCAAGTTGTAACACCTGGCCCCGTTGTATCTCGACGCGAATAATGGGTGTAAATATTGACACGTCGGGGCTCTTACTTTGCTTTCGCAGTTGGCTCGTTTGTTCGCCCGATTTGCGGACTGTTAATTCAAGGAAGAACACTTTGGTAACGGGATGCTTCGTTAACGAGGTGTTGACCTTCTATGGATCTTTCCTTCGTCTTGGGATTTTAGCAACAGATTCTTAATTGATTGACACACGTCTGTCAAACGTAGCACGAGCACGCATGCAGTTGTTACAATCGTGTTTAACTCGTAGAGTTATTAACGCGTCACGACGACGATCTTCAATGATCTCCTGTGACGAGTCACGACTGACACATCTTTTCTTTTATTATTTTATCGTCCGTGATATTTCTAATCCATGGTAATTGATATTTCCAACTCTCAATGTTTCTTTTCATCGCTTACGAAAGTGATTGAACACCAGTAGAAACTTTTTGCGAATGTATCATTCGTGTTGTGTAGAAATTTCGATATTCCACTAATATTGCAGTGAGTGTGATTATATTGGTAAAGCTTGAATTAGATCTAAAAGTAACATAGAAATTGCAAGACATTTAATCCAGCGGAAATATATTTTACAGAAATGTTTAAATAGCAATCCATTGTATCAGTTCAATATTCAATAGAATTATCTTTAATATTTACTACATGCTTAACCAACTAAGGATCAAACGATAATTTATCATAACGTTATAAATACTTCAGTTACTTTAAATCGCATAAAATTACAGAATCCAGCTGAAAAATTTAATTACATAATTCGAATGTTAAAAATTAGAATTGAATAATAGATGTAAATCGTAAATGAAGTGCTGCAAATGAAGTTCACGTTGTGTTTCAATATTTTATTAACGTTTAATCTAAATACCCTATGTATAACTTCCTTGTACACTTTCAAGTTGAGATTGTTCTATGACAATTCTACGTCCGAAACATAAATATGTTCCTCGAGTATTCTCACACAAATTCTCCAAATCGGTCCAAAAAAAAAAAAAGAAGAAATATAGAATCCTCGTTAATGATAACATCCTCGTTAAAATCTCACGCTAGTTAAGTTTCTCCGATCAGACGAAAGCAGAGAGAAAACAAGTACATCCGGCGTTTAGGAGAGGGTCCCGCAATATTTGTTTCGTAATCGATGATTTAAAAACGTCCAGACGAAATCTCGGTGAACTAGGTTCCGCAATTCTCCGACCCTGACATCAAATTGAATTACAACCTCTTTGAACTACCTTGTAAAATTTACCCTCGTTATATACACGAATCTTTAACTTCGTGGTATCTTTAACCGCGAACGAACGAACGAACGCGAATGGACACGCATACCCTTGCCTTTTATCTATCCGGGTTAAACGATGTCCATTTGTCGTTCCTTATCCGGCTGGCCGAGACGTCCGGCCCGGAAATCGAAAGCTCGTCCCCGTGGTTCGAGCCAAGGATGAATCTACGGATCCGACCGGATCGTCGCCGTTGTACAGACTGCGAGGAAATTGTTGAACGTAGAACGCCATTTTTAGAGATGTTTCACGGATACTGAAACGTGTTCCCCTCGGAACCTCGAATTTCGAATACGATTTCATAGTGTCCTTTTGCAAACTTTTGCAGACTTTTCGTTTCTTCTTTTCTTATTTTTTTTTTTTTTTTTTTTTTTTTAACTATCAGATTGCGTAATGGGCATTTTTGGAAAATTTGCAAAATACATATTGTACAAGTGTATGAAATATGTTAGAAGGTAAAAATTTTTCACAAACAGAAACAAATTTCTGTTCGACTACCATTTATAGAATTTGTAAAACAGCGTAGTAATAAGTTCATTTGTTTTCTGTTGTTATATTTCGAAAAAATGTTATACTTGTAAAGACATTGCTAATGTTAATTATACACAGATAATGGAAATAAATATTATCGATGTATTTGTATTATTTCGTAATTGCAATGATGCAAAAACAAACACCGTGAATGCTTCATAATTAAATTATGTAATTAAATTAATTAAATCAACATAGATTAGATTAAATAGATTCGACTAATAGTTTAGTTAGATTGTTTAATGAATTATTTAATTGGATTATCGTTACGTAAAATAATATTTAATAAATGAAGATAAACGAAGATTATTCAAATTGTTTAATTAATTTTTCCACCTGCTGCATGATGAAAAAACATTTTTGAACAAAATGAATCCGGGATTATAAGAATAGCGGCTTCGCTCCTTGAAATAAGCTCAACTAGATTGTTCTGCGATTCTTTTTCACGGTGTTACAAAATTTCCCAAAAATCGAAAATTTTACGCCCAAGTATATAAATGAGAAGAAGATACGACTACTCTTTATTATTATTATTTATGAGATACTCGATTGGCAAAATATATACATATGCCCTCTAATGATGAAACATATAGACTTTGTTTAAAATTTATGAAACATTTTGTGTCTTTTTTCAGATAGTTACAAAGATTAAGAAAGTGCAGATATTTCTGAACGATGGATATAATTTAACTGCTACGCGTGAATTACATGCGTATGTGAGTAGGAAGGAGCATTGATTATCAGACTTTTATCTTCATATTAATTACAATACCTCATGAGTTTATACTTCAAAAGTTTCTACGAAATTACCAGCCACGAATGAGTTAAGAGGTTCTTTGATACACCGCGTATATATATATATATGTAGCAGAAACATCGCACAGCAGAGATACAAAGCGTAAGCTTTTTCAACTTTGGGGCGGAGGTCAGTTCTCCCGGGCCAAATGGTTCTCAGAAAACTCAAGCCCGGTTGCAATGCTAATTAATTTGGATGGCTGTCGACTTGTAAATAATGTAACTCGACGGGGAGCTTCACTTTTCAAGCGCGAAGAAAACTCCTGAAAATGAGAAAACACGCCGGCCAATTTCGCCTGGCTAGTTAATATATGGCAACGGGGGTGGAAAAAAAAAAAAAGAAAAGAAAAAAGGCTCGTCAACTTGGAATTTCGTTAGGGTCGGCAATATACGACGGGAGTTTTCGGAAATTTTTCCACCCAGCTTATCAAATATACGAACTTTTTGTCCCCCTCCTGTTTCAAGCTCGACCCCGAACAACTTTTCCCCGGTGAATTTATTGCTTCGCAACGTTGCCTGCTTGATTGCTTGACACTGTTTATTGCTTTCCGCGCTGTAACCCGTATACCCAACTACTTCGTATTACCGCCGGAGTTTTCTTTTTTTTTTCCCCTCCCCTCCCATCGCGTTGAACTCGAAGCAGAAAATTAATTTCACCTGAAATCACGAAGCAACGCGGATCGAAACAAAGATCACGATTAATGCTCCGGTAATTGTCTTCCTTCCTCGCAGAGATCAGAACCGATGATCGACAGAGAACGAAACACGCGTTACCGGCGACAATGCGTTCGTGACGCATGAGCTCGTCGATTCTACGTATCGCGAATTATCGACAATTAACCGAATAGTCCGCGGATAGAATGGAAGAAAAGGAGCAAAAAGAAGAGAGAAAGGGAGGAAGGGACGGTCCTGCAAAAGCTCAAAGGTTTCGGCCTCGGTGGCGTTGTAACGACGCGGAAGTAAAATCGTACATTGTCGGCCCGTGTTAATTACCACGAATGGCTTTGCCCTGAAAAAAAACCACTCTCTTTCTCTTTTCCCTCTGTCCTTCTCTCTCTCTCTCTCTCTCTTTGTCCCTCTCACCCCTGTTTCTCTCGGTCACTCGCCGTCACGGGTCATTTTCCACCCCTGCTCCGCTCGCTCTACACCCTCTATAAATTTCAAACGGAGTATTTTCTCTTTACGTGTACCTGTTATTGAACGAGAAAACTGCCAATAACGCCGGATAACTGCGTCACGTTTCGCCGCGAACCGCCAACCCCTCTCGTTGCGCGCGATCCCTCTCGCGGACCTCGCCCCTTGTGCCACCACTTTCCCATCCCTCTATTCTCCTGATCGTTTCCTTCGTTCGCCGCCTGTTCTTCCTTCCCCCCGATATCTCTAATATCGCGCGACATCGGCGCACATAAATTATCTCGATATAGTGTTTTCGTTTCGGGGCCGCAACCCTCCCGCGGGACTTTCATCCGAGGCTTTTTCCAGAACGCTGCTTATTTCTTCGAACGACTCGGTCCGGGTGTGTGTCTGTGTGTGTAGGTCGACCGAAGTGGAATGAAGTCCCCCGAGGAATTTCTGAGGTATCTTCAACTGTTGATGAGCCAATTGCAATGGAGTCGCCGACGTGGCGTACAATTCGGTCAATGATGTGAAATAACGGAGAGAAATAATGTTGTTACTAGAGTGAAAAACTAAAGAAAGGAAATGAAACTGAAATTCTGTTGGACATAATATAAGGAATAATATAAGAGAGAGCCTGATGTTTCAACGTGTGTTTTAATCCTCGTTCAGGTTAGTCAAATCGTTTGATTTAGAATAACTTGGCTTCAAATAGATATTAGGAAACAATGCATCGATGTAAAAATTATTATTTTAATCCTACATAAATGGAATTTCACCTATGAAATTTCGTACCTGTTAAAATTGTTGAATGATGGTAATACAACCTTATAATATTTCAATGTTTTGGAAAAATTTCAAGACCATCGTAGTTTTTCTAAATAGGACATTGTATTTCTATTTATATGATATTGTAACTAACATTAGGATTAAAATCAAAGAATATTGTAGAACAGAACTTTCGTTTCAAACAAATTGTTATAATCCAATTAATCATTGTTGCGCTTCGTTTATTAGAATTACTCGACTTTGGAAGATAAAAATTAGATCAATATACTCTTTTCGTGTATATTACTGACAATGAAAGAGCATAGAAAAATGAAACGCAAGGAAGGGATGTCGTTGACGATCAATCTTGAAGGATAAAACCGGGAGATTTAAGTTTATTTTTCTATCAATTAAGTGAGCGTATTCCAGACAATGTTAGCCGAATGATCGTTGGTGGACTTCGGTGAAGTAATCCAGAGGGCTCACTGTACATTCCGGGAATAAACTATCACAGAGGCTGACTCCTTGTCGGCCCATAATTTCAGCGGCGTGATATACTCGATCAAAGTCAGTCCTGAAAGGCTCAGAGGTGATCGACGGCCTGAAACGACGAACAATATTAACCGATCACCGTGAGGCGTTTAAATTCGCGTTAATAATGGTCAAGTAAGAAATTTCGAGGAACACAGGGAAACCACGATGCACATGCATGTAAACGTTGCGCTTAGTGGAAAACGATTAGCAAGAGCTTCATCGAAAGCGAAATCGATTGTATTGTGTATCACTTGAATAAAACTTAAAAAAAAAAAAAAGAAAAAGACGATTAATTGTAATTAATGTGTCATTGAAATACGTATTGTAATAAAATTTGAAAAATAAAATTTTTGAATATGTAATTTTCAAGATTAGAACTATTAACTTTATTCAGACAAAACACTGATCATTAGATTATAAATTTTTATACAAATTTTTATTCTTACGTTTGAAATATGTTATGTATTCTTAACAGAGATCATTATAAGCGTTGAAATTCAACGAACAATTACTGGTAAATGTACTAACAAACACACGATCAAAAAATGTTAAAAAATCTTTGCAGGATCATTACATTAAAATTCAAAGGAAGTGAATTTTCCATATTTCAATTATCTTTTCTTTTCCTACAGTATTACTGCATAAAGTGTCAAATTGAACTAAGTAGTTATAGTTAATTAAGAACACGTTTCTCTCATAAATTTTGGTTATAGAGAATCAAGGTAAAAATTACATTTTGAAGTTTTCTCTATTTAAATGTATAAAGTTCTAAGTTGAAGTAAATACGCTATAATCAACTAATTATTTATTTTATAGATATTTTTTTCTCACGAGCCAACGAAACTATTTAATCGACGATGCATCTAGTTGACTCTTAACAATAAACTATTACAAATGTATCACAATCAAATATGTTATCCCCGGACATGCACATTGATCTACGTTTCAACACTATGCAAGTAGCACGGCGTAAATCATTTCTGGTGTAAATTAACGTCCGACGAAACACAGGAGATGCGAGATAATCGAAGAAAGCAGCTCCGCTGCAAGAGCACAATCAACCCCGATACGTTCCCTGTCCCGTCATCCCTTCCAAATCGATACTCACGTGAGCAGAAGATGAACGAGCTGAGAACTGAGACCGTGAACTCGATTAAAAGGCACCGCTGAAGCCTCGCAGATCGCTCTCAAAAGACAAGCCTTTCCTGATCGCGAACCACCGAGGACCGACTCGAGTATTTCGTAAATTTCCCATCTGGTAATGACACGTGCCACTCCTACTGGCAGAAAGTATTCGATGAACGCGCGAATGGAACGATTAACAGTACAGTGGCTCCAGGAAGCTTTCGTAGCACTCGATGATAAATCGCCGATACTTTAAACTCGTATTAACCTCGTGAGAAAACGTGTTTTCAAGCAATCATTACAAAGGGATTTAGTTATGGAAGAAATGTTTTTGTGTGCGTCGAAACGTTTGAATTTATAGAGTTACCTTATCCTTATTTATCCTCTTCAAAATGATGTGAAAATATCTTCATTATTGCGGAAATAGAAGCTTCACATTTTAAAATCAACTTAAAATTAATTTGACTGTTTTACGATTTCCTCTTATAAAGTCATGGCAGTTTAAAATGTTGATAATCGTTTATCAATTGTATTGGAAATATTATTGGTATTATTTAAAGCGTTTTATTCATAATCAAACTGAGCACATTTTAAAACATAAAGCTCGTATTTCAGTACTGAAATCTTTTTTTTAATATTTTCACGTTATTTTAAGAAGCAAATAGAGATATTTCTTTTCTCTCGAAAATTTCGAAAAAGCGGTCCCTCAAAATTTGTGATAACTTTCTGGAGTCACTGTACCTAACTATCGTATTGACTACTGTACTTATCTAAATCGAGAAAAGAACAAAGCAATCCTTAATTAATATGAGCGCGCTTGTAACATGAATTAAAATGAGAAAAGAGATTAGACATGCCATTAAACATTCAATTATTTTCATGTTTCACGGGCTAAAAAGAAATAAGAGGAAATATAATTTCTTATTAATTTTGATTCCTCCAATAGTAACACATCTACTCTGTGTAAAAAGAATTTAAAGTCAGCTAAAACTTGAGATGTTCCATTAAAAACACGCGTTCAAAAATTACATTCGTCTTTAATTTCGAAAAATGCAAGTAAAAATCGACATTTTGAAAGTTCTGGAACGATTGAAATCCCCCTAGAAATCCTCTTGGTGTTCTTGTTTCTGTTTATAATATATATGAACGTGTCCTCGGCTCCGTAGCATAGCGTGCTTCTGATCTTGACACAGATAACGTCAAATGCAACCATCGTTTTAGCATAGCCAGATGGTTGGAAGTTAGTTTTCTCTTTCCATCTTGGGACTTAACCCGTTGCACCTAAACAACGTCTTCTAAGTTCAGCAAAGGAGGCAGGGCTATGTAAGTAGACGAGACACACAACAAAAGTAGCCTTGTTAATATGTAAAGGAAGAGGATCTGCTTCTTATCCCGACTGAGCCGAAGCCTCCGGTTCCACGGGCTAAAGGATATAGTCGCGAGGATTTAGTGAAATCAGTCGAGTTACGGCGAGATCTTCCTTTTACTCTCGTCACATGTAAAATTCGCGATCTATCGATCGTTTTAATAAATATAGGAATGAATCAGTAACGGCCATGCGAGACTTTAACATTCTCTCAATTGATTTTATTAAATTTTCAATCGACGAGTCGTTTTAGAGATAAAATGAAATTTGAGAAAGAAAAAAAAAAAACTGTAGTAAAAAAAGTAAATTGCTATGTAGCTGGTACCATAAAATATATCTTTTTCTAATTTTTACAATTTTCCAAAGACGAAAGAAGATCAAAACTTTATCTTCAGAATCCCCAATATGTTGCAGTCGCAGTCATGCTGTTTAATTAAGAATCAGTTGGACTTCTTTCGTTTTTGAACAGAACGGCTCAGATCATTGCGACCATCAACTTTTGACATTAGAAAAATTTTTCAACAAAAGGAATTTGTGATCGTTCGTCAGAAACAAATCTTATGTAATCTCAATAAAAAAGTTCGCCAAAAAATTATTAAAGAACTTAATAGCTAGAATTAACACTCAAAAGAGAGGCGGGAGAAATGATTGAAGAAAGAATTAGGCAACGGAAGCAAGCACGTGCTAGGCTGAGAGAAAAGAAAAAGAGAGAAACGAAAAAGAAAAAATGCCGGAAGCGCATCGAGACGGAAAGATGAGAGGTGCGTGTACCTTGGTGATCCGGCGTTGGCTCGTCATTCTCGTCGACCTCGACACCGGGGCTGATCGATCTGTCATGGCGAACGTATGAATCCGTCAAGTAGGAGGCGTTATAGGGCAGGGCGTAATTAAATTTCATCACATATCCGATAATCAAGCTGACGTCGACTTCCGTGGGTAAACCGAGGCCGAGGATTAACTGGAACGGTTTTCAAATACACGAAGGTGTCATCGATCGTTTATAATAACCGGCAATCGAATTCCAACTGGCAGGCCTGTTCCCGTTCTCGGAGCTAGCTAGCTCGTGACATTCGGCCAAATGAAATTAGATGGTAAAAATATTACACGAATTTCCGGCTGGCCGATTCGCCAGAACAATGATTCTGGTATTATACTGGGTGCGTCGCGAGATTTGGACAAGTCGTACTTCTGTTTTGGTAGATGAGAAGAAATTTTTTAAGACGGTATTAACACTTTCACGATCACATTTTTCTTTGCAAGCACACTGATACTCCACTCTGTAAATCACCGAATACTTGCCCACTTGCCTACTTTGGATAAATGATTATTATAATACAATTTTATCGCTCGATTTTTGCTGTTGTTATATAATTTCGTGTCAGGATATTGCTGCAAAATTAAACAATAAGAGAGAGTAGTTTCATTAAAAACTAAGAAACCTTTAAACAGAAATAAAAGGCAAGAATTCTACACTTGACTAAACGCGAAGAACAAATTGCGCGATTGTAAAAGAATACATTCTAAACGATCTCGTGAACGATGATTTCAATTAGCTTTCAATAACGTTACCACGATACTAAAGATTAACTTCTACGAATTTCTGTCGATAACCAGAGTGTCGATATTTTTCTCCGGGGTACGCGACTCCCGTAGAATTACGATTATCGATCATGCATTCAATTTCGCGATTAAATTGCGAACGATCGTAACGTGCACCGCGCAATTGCAGATAATTGCATCGCGATTACGTGTATGAAGCCATGTCTATCGAGCCATCATGTCGAGGGAGACATCGTTCTGTCTTTAGAAACGTACGATGTCTCGATATTCTCACCCTCTTCCCCTCTCACCCCCATCGTTCACACTTTCACCGTTTAGCACAACGTGTATACGATATATCGCTTAAACAATTAGCAATCGATATCCAATTAGAATTACGAGCACAATTAAACGTATGGGTTGATTGGAGTGACGACTCGAGTATCGACACAATTACTCGGCGATGTACAGGACGTCTTGCATTTTGCTGTTCGAACGTCAGAACAGTGGGCAGAAATATAGATAAAATGTGTAACAAAGAGTGCATAAATGTTTCGTTGAAAACGTTGCGACAAAAATATGAAACGCGAAGCTGTACACATAAGCTGTACTTGTGTGTGTATGTTTCGAAGTGATACTCTCTTTTATCAATGGAAAATTGATATTGAAGTAGCATTGAATTCACTGCGAATTAAATTTCACATCAATTTTGTCGAATTTCTTTACAAGCAGTTTTGATCTTTGTAATTAATTTGTGTAGATTGTAAATTACAAATACACGCTCGGTGTGTAAATTGCAAATTTTTGCTTTCAAAGGTGATTGGTCTTTCTTGACTAACTAATCGTTGAAATTGATCGCATTCATTATATTTGTATTATACTTCGTAATAACTTCTATATTTAAACCATGAAACTTTCTTTGAAACTTTCTCACATTATAAGTTTCAGTGAGAACGGACAAAGGAACGTTCGTGAAAATAAAAGTTTCGGTCTGAATAGACGTTGTACAATATAAAAATGAAAATTGCTTACTCTGCAGAAACAGATAGTTTCTTCACTGATGATTAAAGAAGTTTTCAATTATTATAAAAAATACTATTCAATGAATACTCCAACAATATTAAATAATTATCACAATTAAACTTTCATATTCTGAATATGTTACTCATTATTCGCGTAGATAATTCAGTTTAAAGTTTGTTTGTGTTTCTCTTTGGAAACGTAATGCAAATCGTGTAATATCTGCCGTGATGACTACCATCATTAGTTACTTGGCCTGTTACCTAGAATACAATTTAATTTGAACTTTCAACGACATGATGTGACTAGTATTTGATAAATTACTCCGTTTGTTCATCATGTGAAACCGTCTCTAATAAATCAATTCCAAAATAATTAGTTTTCATGGATTTCTTTTATTACTTTTATAGATAAAATATTTGTGTTCTATAAAGATACTTTTCAACGAAGTTAAAGTTAAGCCACCATTTATTTCGATCCATGGTTAAAACTTTTTAACGAAAGCATTTATGAACTATTTGCCACGCAGAGAATGGCTAAAACTGGCCTCGAACACTAAAATTCAGGACCGCGTACAATTCGAAGTACCTGGACTTTGGTCGGCGCTACGTTGCCGGGCACTGGGAACACCAAGTACCTCCTGTCTCGTTCGAAACACAATCCAAAGTGACAACACGCGGACAGAAACGAAAGCGCGAAGAAACACCGCATGCTGACCGTTCGACGAGATCGTGGCGAGTGTCTTTGAGATTTTTCGAAGGTCTGTGATCGGTCAGCCAGGTGGCGAGAGTTTGTTAGTAGGTACGATTAGTTCGTTATCGCGAGTTATGGCGAATAATGAGCCGGCTTCGATCGCGGTAAACGACCGCAGTCAACTGGATGGACAGGTTGGAACTGCGCCGGTTGCACGTTGCTCCTAGTCAAATTAATGCGACGATCAGTTTCCATCGATGGGCACACAACTCTCATATTCACTGGATACCGAATCCTCGGACTGCCATTAACATGGATGCACGTCGCTATAACCAGCATACTGGTCAAAATGACTAATTTGCCATTTTTACGCGAAAATTTTATTGATTTACACGCGACATGTTCTTTCTTCTGAGATTTCAATGACCTTTTGTAAAATACAAAAACTATTATACTTTGATTATTAATAATAATTATTGCAATTATTATACCGTGGATGTTTATTTATAAATTAGTATTTTCGTAATCACGAGTACAAGAAGTGAAACCCTAAATAGAAATTTGTTTCGTTCTCTGGATACTATGATCGAGCTATGATGTTTAGTATTTGCGTGAGATTTAAAATACACAAACTTGTGTGAAATATTTGAACTAAGATACTTGTTACGATTTTGCATTAGATCGGACGAATCTTTAGTTAAATTATTCTACTTCTTCAATCGTATCCATAAAAATCGACAACAATGTGATTATAACGAATCCCAGGATCGCGAAACTCAATCGGGGCAATCAGAGTGTCAAGTTTCCTACGATGTCGTGATTTTCTTTTCAAGCTGGACAAATCACAATCGATCGCTAAAATTCAATGGGGCATTATTAATGACAGAAAGGAATGAATTCGAATGTTACTCCATCTCGAAGATCGTTAAGATAAGGAAAGGCGAAAGCCCCGGTTTAAGTGGATTTAAATGCACGGGAAATCCAGGGTTATCGCCGATCCGCATCAACTCGCGAATATCCCCTTTCGGCCATCCCTTTACGCCTCAATTGTATCGCCGCGTTCATGCGACATTTGCATTATTTTCGTATTACGGGGCGGCCTCGCGCGTCGGACGCTCCGCCGCTATCATAAATCTTCTTAACAACGGGTCGTAGAGACACCAACCAGATAAATATAGATATAGATATAGATAGATATGTATATATATATATGTGTGTGTGTGTGTGTGTGTGTGTGTATCCTCCTCGAAGCAAAGCACCCTGGGGATTGATTCGAACCTGCCGCGTAGGTAACCTACCGATATCGCGGAGAAACGCCCCGCGAATATAAACGGCGCCGATGGATGAAAACCGGCTGGCTAATGAGTCAGGAAAAACTCGGTTATGAAAGGTGATTATCGAAAGAATAGAAAGGGGGATTCGAGTCGGCCTCTGTTCCCGACGCTCATTTCCCATCTGAATAGAGGGCGTCTGATTCCGGGCAGCTTCCGAGATATCGGCCGGCCGGTTGCCAGCAGCGGATCTAATTTTATGAGGCCATTATTCCGAAATTTTATATATCGCGCGTGATACGATGCAGCCTGAGGTTCGACGATTCAAAATCGCGAACAAAAGGCGCACTTACAACAACAGCCGCTGGTAAATTAATAATGGTAAATGATAAATTCGTAATTTGATATTAATAGACTGGATGTTTTCCACCAGCTCCTCTTGAATAGAGCACTTGAATAGTGTTTGGATGAAAAATCTGTACGTGTATATTATGTATATTATAACGTATATTATACGTGTATATTATTATACAAATAATATTCAATTCCTAGGAGAATATAATCAGAATATAATCTTCAACTAAGATGAAGAATTTCATTACATTGTACATTTAACGAATAGCTATATTAGAAAATTATGTAGTCACTAATAATAATAATATAATATAATTTTTTCAATTAGTTCCCGTATGTGCAAATTATTGCTTCATCAAGATAACATATCTTAAAACAGCATCAACTACTTATTTTAGCAATATACAATGATGATCAAGACAAAATTCATAATAAGACTGAAACACAATGTTACATAAATCAGGAATAACGTAGTTGCTTTTTACCAACTAAATTCCAAAGATAAATGAACAAGGCCTTGATAATTGCTCGAGAAATGTCTTTGCAACAGTTGTGCGACATAGAAACAATCTAATTATATCACTTTCAACTAGCAGAATGATTAAAAAGTTCAATCGTTCCTCAAAACATTTACTACAATTTAGAAAAGATCCTCTCTGTTGCGTGACTACTGATATCGCTAAAAATGTATCGATTCAACGCGAACGTCGTTTTAGCCAAGCTAAAATTTTTAGCCCAGTCTTTGCATACTAACAAATGAATTCTATGTAATTCTAGTAACCGTTCGTTGACTCTCTTCGACGAGTACTCCTTCGAAAAATTTCTATCCCAATCTACGAACAGGTATTTTACATAACTCCGACAGCTGTTTATTCATATCTTTGACAAACATAATTCAGTGCCTTTCATAATGTTCCGACGCTTAAAGCGTTATTAGCATCAAGGTAAATCCGTTCCTGTCAGTAGGTTTGAAAGCTGTTCACGGCGAGGGAGAAAAAAAACGGTGCAGAGAAGAAAGAATCGGATTTTGCGGATCAGATCTGTCAGATGGCTGGTACTACTCGTCACCATCGTCGGAGCCATCTCCAAACGATGGCTGAAACCGATCATTCGGCACAAAGGAGATGAAAATTGCTTGTTTGGGAATCGAACACGAATCCGCGTCCCATCTCCCTTCCACCTTCCCTGGACGGAATTATTGAATTTCATTTCCATCGCTGGATGAAAACATCGACGAATCCTTTTCAGCGATTGAACGCGTTACGTCGATCGGTAACTGCGGTTCATTCATCTATCCACAGGCCGATGAACGCTTTCACGGAGGTCCCGAGACTCCGAATTTATTTCTCGGTGACAATTTATATTCGCATCTGGACGGGAGACCCGAAAAATAGTGGCACACACTTTCGACCGCCGATTCCTCTGCCTCTTCTCTATCGCGGAGAATATGTTATTCTCGGAAGAATTCTCGGCAACCAGGCAACACGATGGAAAGGGCGAAATTCTACCGTGTACCACGCCGATCCGCGAACGAAACTCGAGCCGCTAGAATTGAAACGATAAATTCGCACAACGTGCTCGACCACCTCGAGATACCGTAATCGCTACTCGAGAACACTCGGTTCGCGGCTGTTACTCGTATAATTATCGCCCTGCTGTGTATCGGCCTGCTTCAATTATACCACGCGATTCTTTCTCGCTCGTGCTCGTAACAAAATTGCCGTTAATCAAAATTCCTCGCAGTTCTACGAGAGCTATCTAAAGTTGATTTATATTCTTAAAAGCATTCGTCGTTAACACATTTATCGCCACAAGGATACGAACGACCGGCAGATATTTTGAAATTTCTATTTCTGTGAATACAATTCAAAAAGTGAAGATTAGGCAGCTAAATATTGTAGGATACTGTAATATATTTTGGACATTTCGTAATATATTTGTAATATATTTTGGATACGTTTCTTTTATATTTTATACATTCTAAGTAATTCTGCATTATCGAATTTTATAACTGTATAAAAGTCCGTAATCTAACGATTAATAAAGTCGGAAGAAAAATTCAAATATAGAGCGTCTGTGTATTGATGATACAAGTAAAAAGAACCATACATAAAAAAATGAGTCAAAAGGAAAGAATAAATTTTATGTGACGCTTCATTTTCGAGGAAATTGAATTTGAAAACTTGTCACGTATATTTGAATTTAATTAATTCTGAAGTGACTTACATAGAAAGTCACTTCAGAATTAATTAGAAGTGACTTAACACAGAAGTGAATTATCAATTTAGAAAATTTCGAAAAATGAAAAATTACGAACTGGCTATTTTGATCTCTTTGTTGAGTTCCATTGTTAAGATGAGGCCTGCTTCTTAAATTAATATATTTTTAAATTAATATAGACGAAAGGACAAAGAATTAATTAATCGAAGAAAAGAACGTAGAATTAATTAATTAAATAAAGGAGCAAAGAATTACTTAAGAACATTTTTTCGTTAGCCTCTGTTACGTGCTTCATCGACCTGTACCCTTTAAATCTTAAATCAAATTGGCTCATTGGCTTCAAGTTCTCATATACTGAAATCCTCTTGGAAATACGCGTGCTAATGCGATTAACCTGGCTTCTGTTATTTCCGTTCATCGAGAAAACATAGCTTTAATAAGCACCAAGCAGATTTATGAATAAAATGAATTTACTTCGACCGTACGGATATGAAATGTAGTTTTAACTCGATTATTTCAATATAATTTAAAATTTCACATATCGAATCTGTTCGATAACACCATGGTATTCGCACATTAACAGACTGAAACGACGTCTGACAAAACTTAATCCGATTAATAAATTGATGATTATTATTACAAACACTTATTAAATAATCAATAATCATTGATTAACGAATATAAAAAGTACTCAAAGTGCTGTAATTAATTTCAAAATTATTCATCACGAAATGATTACACCTTTGATTATGCTATATTCAGTACTTTATTACTTGTAATATTCCTTTTATGTATTAAAATACTTTCGTTTGTGGTATCATTGTACATCATAATCTATTATTATCAAGTGAATGACTGGATAATTTGTAAATATGCACTGAAATCTTGTGCTGTACAATAATTGAAAAGTATGATTATTGAAAGGGCACTTGTAAAAGGGCACGTTTCACTGAACTTTTAATCATGTAAAAGTATTTTAGAACGTAAAAAAATTACGCATTCTTTTTACCGAGATTTGTGATTTCATTTGACAGTTAAAGTCATTCAGTGACAAGAAAAATTTTATAAGTATATATATATATGTATATACTTTATACTTATATATTTGTAATATTTGTAATATAATGCATATTTGTAATATATATATTACAAATATACATTATTGATCCTAATGAAATATCAATTAATCACTGAATGGTTTAAGCAATTACTAATTTATCCTAACAATGATTAATTAGTCATTACGATCAATATGAACTATTTAAAGAGACTATTTAAAGAAATTCGATTTACCCGAGTTTCCAGTTAATATTAGAGTTTGAAAAGGCACGTTTCACTATCAAGAAAATCTATTGCAAATTGATGAAGTTGAGAAAGTACGAGGTTGAGGCACGTTGCTTGGGAGTGGGCATTCAGATATGAAAAATGTTCGAATTGGAGGGATGAAGAAAATGTGTATATCGGCGTAATAAAATATTATACTAGAAAATTAAAAATCTAATTTCTCGCACAAAGACCACGATGCATAGAAATTAATAAAGCGTGCTGAATTTAGAGAGAACATACTCGTTTAAAGCATCTAAAATAAATCGTCTGTTAAACTTTATAAGAGAAACGGCCGTTGTCTTTATTTCTAAAGACTCTATAGCTTCATGGTCTTATTGTCGCGCTGCGACAACATCAAAATCGATTACAGAAATGACTATAAAAGAAGCCAGTTACTGCCCAACTTTGGATTAAAAGAAGGTTGACCAAAACAGGGTGGTGTGGCTATTTCGTTGCAGATCATGTTATTGCTGTTTAGAACGTGTGTGCGAATTGTAATTTCGACGCGCCTTTGAACAGATTCCCCGCGGTCTCTCAGGATCGTCCGAGGGATCGTTACGTCTCTATCATTAAAATTAGAATAGTCGACGCTCAGAGAAAATTACAGACCGTCGGAACTTCGTACGTACTGGTGGAAACTCGACGAAAATCTAACCAGACCCGCCCGGACGCGAAAACGCAATCCCCTGAATTCGTTGAAAAAATTTCCCCCCGTCACATTTAGCTACTTTAGAATTTTTATTTTCTTCTTTTTCTCTCTTTCTCTCTCTCTCTCTCTCTCTTTCTCTTGCTTTCCGTCTTTCTTCATTTTCTCCGAGTTAAACGACGAAAATTGCTCGAATGCTACTTTCACGATGCTCGTACGATTGATTGGTTATCGATTCTCGTCTGATGAAAACTGATTGAAGAACAATCGACTGATCGTTTGAACGATAGATTGAAATTTCGCGAAGCAATCCCGCAAAATTTTGCGTAAAGTAAACGAAGGGCTTTCCATCGAAGTTAAAATTGATCCTTTTCTTCGACTCTTGAAAAATATTGAAACGTAGTCGAGAATATTATTATTAAAAAAAAATATTCTGATTAAAAGAATGCGTTGTATATCATAATAAAAATATTAAAACAAAATTAGCAAATGGGAAATAGACAATCTCAGAAATGAACGTGATGCACATAGTTTATAAAATATTTAAATTATACGCGTATTAATTGAGCCGAAATTAAAAAACACTTCGTGATATTCCTATCAAAATACCTCCTGAACTAGTGCCTTTTCCTCATGAAGATCTTAATGCCTTTTTTATTATATCAAATAATAATAATAATAATAGGGTTCAATTTAAAGAAGTTATCGTCCGTGTTAATCTGTAAAAAAAACAAACTGTATTATATTTTATTTCGAACATTTTTGTATGTTATCTTCGTCACAACATGTAATACTACATGTTCACGTTTCAATTTTTTTTTTTTTTTTTTTGAAGATGGCTAATTTTGGCCATTCTTCAACTTATGAATTCAATTCACGTCAATTTCAATATTCCAATTCTTATTTACTCGCTCGTCTCGTACTGTATTTTATTCATTGCTCTTGCACTAAAGAGCGTAACCTGTTCAATTAATTAATTAATTAATTAAAAATTCTCCGTATATGGAGAATATCGAACAACTTAATAGATATTATCAGCATGTTCGAAATTTCTCACATAGAATGTGCCGTCGCGTCGCGTCGCGTCGCGTCGGCGCGGCGAGACGACGATCTAATAAATCTCCGATGAAATTCATCGACACGCAAGCAGCATTGAATTCAATTATTCCGAGCAAAGAGGAAGAAGTAGAAGAAGAAGAAGGCGAGGCGGGTATTAATTCATGAGAGTTTTTTACGTGGATTATGTAAATCGAGTTTTATCGCCGGTTTGGATATCTGGCATATCTTTTAAGCTCGCTGAATGATGCAACGGACTTAACAAGCCGCGTCAAAGTTTATAAAATAACTTCGATCATCGTGTGTCGATATTAATAAATAATATGTTCCTACTTGTTTCAATTCACAAATCTGACTTTTTACTCTAAATCGATGAACTGAAGAAGAAAGAAAATTAAAAAAGAAAACATGCGACATTACAATAAATTTACATTACGTTCGACATAGTTGAAGTAATATTTCAATTGGTGGAGAGTTTATTTCAAATATGAAGAGTTTGAAACCCAAATATCAATCACCAGTCAACGAAACTGTCATTTAAATCGTTACCTAAAAACCGGAAATATAAATTACAATTAGTTGGCTGAGGATCCACAAAGCCTTTCTTTTAATAAGTAATAATATTTGTATTAATTTTAACTTTTCAATTCTTTTTAGTAGTAAATTCGTACTAAATAAATGTACCTCAAATAAACGATATCAAATGCACTTCAAGTTTACAACATTCTGTCCGATAGAATTAAAGTGAAGTTCCCCTTCTCGTAAACTAATATTTTAGTGGAAAGGTTGCTGACCTCTGTCCTAGATGGCACACACAGAAAAACCACAAGACACCAAGAGGATTAAATACGGCCGTGATAAGAACCGAGATAAACGAAGAACGAAGGATTTTTCCGCCGTGCGAACCGATGCAAATTCCATTCGGAAATTACAACTTATAATCGTACTTATAGATCGGAAATCGATTATATTTTTTTCTTTCTCATCACTGTCGTGACGATCCATTATTCATACATTCACGGTGCTAACAAAGTGGTCGACGGATCGATCATCTCGGAATAGAAGGGAAAAAAGAGAAAAGAACCACAAGTCTTCGTGCCACGTGTTTCTACCAATTTTCAGGGCATCGTTTTTTCGACGACGACTCAATCTAAATTTCGTATTCCGCGAGTCGCGTCTCCAGGCGGCACGAAAATGGCGAATCTCTTCAGGGAATCGTGCCATTCGTTTCAAGGGCTCTACGCGTCTAGGTAACAGTCTTCAATCGTTGTCCGTTACAAGTAGAAAATCTCGTCGATTTCTCTCGGTAATAAACTTATTAATTTCGAGGGGAAACGTGACAGGATCTATGCAGGAGAGTTTACAGGGAACGATAGATGGTTACGAGCGACAGACAGCCAGAGAGTAGATAGAACGGAAATGGCGAAACAGTTGGCTGAACTATGGTAGTCGGTGATGGAAAAAAGAAGACCATCGACACGGTGACGCTCTGTCCCTGTAAAAAAAAAAAAGGTAACAGACGCATCTGCGGTGAATAGGCACTTCGTCCTGAGGAGGAACAATCGTCTCCGACCTGTTTGTGGAAACGGAAAAGTGTCGCTATATGTGATGCACGAGCGGTCGATGCACGGGGAATAAACGTTTTCTGGAGCAAAACAACGAGAAGGAAATACAAAAGGGTCGCAAGGAGGCAGGCGAGGATATTCAGGCGCTTTTTCGTCGCGAAAAACGTTCAAATTTTACGTTGAAATTGTGAACGCGAAAACAGATACAACGTTAAATTGATAATTATTGAACGAGCTTCGTAGATATTTCCTGGAGTTTAACTTTCACGTATCTTGGCAATTAGGTGGTTTTAAAATAAACAAATATATCTAAAGATGGAAAAATGTCATGGAACTTTATGGAGGCTTCTGACTCATTAACTGAATTTCATTAGAATTAAATGTGTCAAAATAAATTAGTTGTACAAATGTAAAGTACTGTCGCGTTTAATAAAATGAGTCAGTATTAGATAAGTACTAATAAAATGGAAGAATTTTTTATTTCTTTATCATACTTCGTGCCTCCGAATATCCTGACATATGCGTCAAGAGTAAAATCACCCCAAATGTTTCCATTTAAAGGATTCTTCTTCAATAAAAAATAAAAGTCACCGCAATTTCTCCTAAGTTTCATCAAAACATTGTATCGAAAGTAAACGAGCGTCCACTTTGAACGATGGTGCATCGGTTTTCGCTTTGCAAGTTCGCAATCTGGCAGCATTGAATGAAATCGAAGTAAATAAATGAGTAAACTTAATTGGCCCCTGTGTGTAATCAGAACGAAAGTTAATTGGCCCTTTCTTGCTAGTGACAGACAAACCCTTCGTCGAACGCATTTTTCACCCTTTCTCTCCGCCTCCACGACCACCGCCATCATCTTTCGTTCAACGTCTTCGTTTAGAACATGCCGGGGCTTTTCCTTCAAGGCTTGCTTATTCACGTTTGTTGCAGTTTATTATCGTGTTTCTGGTACGAACGCGTATTTGTTCGTGGAGAACGACTCGTTGCCGGTGCTCAGAGTGTGTATTGATGTAAACGAGAAAAGGAATTAAAAACGGGGAATAATCCCGGCAAAGTGGGCTCATTTATGTATGCATGGTTTAACCCCAGCAGCATTTCCACCCGGCGTAATCCTCTCGTTTTCTTCTTTTTTTTCTTTCCTCTCTCTCTCTCTCTCTCTCTCTCTCTCTCTCTCTCTCTCCATTCGCCACGCCGACGCTAAAATCAGTGAAGTTTTTTAATCACCGCCACTCCAGGCCACTGCGCGATATCTGACGTGCCGCGCGTGGAGAATTGTAATTGCATTTGAAAATCGTGCCACCGGTGGCCGGCAACGCGCGGAAAATTTTTTCCCCCCCTGACTTTGGGAACCTTGACGCCGGGACAACCGCGGCAAATAGCCCCGCAACGCGCGGCGAGTCGACGAGAATTAAATTCCACCGTGGAGATTCAGTGGGAACCGGTGCCAATGAAACTTCAATTCCCGAATGACACCCCAACCGACCCAACGACAGTCCAAATATCCAAATATCGGCCGATTAAAGATCGAAACTTCCACGTTTTCCCCTCCCCCTTCTCCCTATGTTTCCTCTCTCGCCAATTTCCACGCTCGCGAGTTCGCACGTAATCGCAAATATCGTTAACGAAGGAACCGGTTTGCGCGTTGAAAATCGACATGGTGGAACTAACGGAGCGTCCTCAGACACGCGTCCTCTGTTCGAGCCTACGGTCGAGCCGTCCTCGGTGAAATGTCGAGCCATCGGGAACTATTTCTGTACGTTCAGTAATTAAATGTAAACCGATTATCGTTCGTTAACGGAACCAACCGGGCGAGAGTTCACACGTTGGAAGTTCCTCGAGGGAATTAAATGATCCGTCCGACCTCCGACTTGGCCCGATGAATTTTCATCCGGCCTCGGAAGGCGAAAAGAGGCTTCAATTTCGTTCTGTTAATTTGTAATGTTAATCGAGCCCCGCGCGAGCCTCACTGATACACAGAGAGACGTTTCGGTGAGAGCCGGGAAATTCCTCCGTGTTTCTTTCAATCTCTATCAATCTTGTCCCGCGTCCACTTTTATATCCCTTCCGTGGAGATTGTTTTACGAGAAACGTGCACGACAGTTTACCAGGTTCTGAAGGAACGGTCTTCCTTTGCAGTCTCTTGATGCTCAATCTGGTGGTGATATTTCATCCGACCAGCTCGAGAGTCCCGAATTCGGAGCTCGCCAAGGTTCTTCATCGACCAATCCGGTCGCTCACATTCCCGGAAGAGAGTACCTCAGGTGTGAGTATCTCTAAGAGAAAACGGTGGACAATAACGGATTACCGCTTTCACGAATCCAAATTGAAAGTGACGAAACGTATTCTTTTCGAAGCTGTTCGTAGCGCTGGCGATACCGTTGGAGGATCCCTACAAATCGATCTCCATAGCTGATTTCTTCGAGGCAACTTACACGCTGCCGACGAACGCCAGCGAATATTTCTGGTTGATTAACGAGCAACGAAGAAGGAGAAGGAGCTTGGACAGAGCCACACTTTATCAAGTTGTGGAGAACAAGTTCGTCAAGTGAGTTTGAAGATTTACTCGAATTTCATTTCCCCCGAAAAATTCTTTTAGAATTTAATCGAGGTAAAGTCAATTTTTTCATCTGAGAGAGAATTACAGACGATCACTTTGAAATACTGCGATCGATAATTCACACAGATGCGTAAGAAATATATTTCATAAAATATAAAATGGTGTGATTAGGTAAACTTTAAATTTCGACCCCTGGAAGATTTCCTATTGATCCGTAATAAAATCGATTTTTAATCTGAATGAATTGATATAGTTACTCTGAAAAGCTTAGTAACGAAGCGCTGTAATCGATGTTTTACAAAGGTTCGTACAAACAAAGTAAAAAAGTCATGTGGAAGTTATTGAAAAAAGTGTTCCTTTTATTTCGTCGCTTTAGTTTTAAAGGGGAAAAATGATTGGGAAAAAAATTCCATAGCCGCGTTTAGAAAATGAAATTTTTTTATTTGTAAAATTATTAAAGTAATACTTTCGAAATGTGGATTAATGCAACAGTCACACAAAAGTATAAATTTCTGTTTTTTTTACGGTGTTTGTAACATCGTTTAATGCGCTTGATCTATTTTCGAGTATGCAGTTTCATTTCTCATTCCTTGTTTACAGACTCAAATAGAAAATACAATTCTAATATTGTCCCCACGACGAGATCAGTACTTATACCATATGATAAGAAAATGACAAACATAGATGCACAAAGTATATATTCCAATATTTTTGTATCAAAAATCACGTTTAAATATGATTATGACGATCTGAACAAGATCCACCGATCTTTTCTGGAAACAACTCTGAAAATTAAATTCATTTGATCGCTGTTGCCAGCTCAGTAATGTCAATGCTGCAGTTAGCAACATTCAGGGGACGAAATTTGAAATTTCCCGCCCTTGCCCTAGACCGAAGGTTGTTGTACTCGTTTGCCGACATTGTGGTGAAATATTTCGTAGTTTACAAGATAAAAGAAAGAAAAAGAGAGAGAGAGAGAGAAAGAATGCAGAATAGAGTAGAAGAAAATATAGGTCCATACGGATGCTGACCCAGAAGTCGTAGTAGGTCAGCCACGGACGGTCTTATTTTATTTTTCACTTTGCTTCCCCCGACTTTCTGCACAGTTACGGATATCAGGGTCACGAATGCCTGCTGAGGGCCATTTGCGAAACTTCGGAGCACTCGCTGAGACATAACGGACTCATTGGTGACATTCTGCACGTGATCTTCACGTAAGTTCCTCCCGTTAGCTTTTACATTACGCCGAACCCCTCGTCGCCGATAATCCACCTCCTTAATCCACGCTTTAACCCACCAGCCATTAATTCAGCTCAGTTAATTTTCCGTGCATGGAAATTTCATCATTGCCGAGTTTCTTTCTTTTTTTCCAATTTCATTCTATCTCGACGGCGAAGTTCAACGAAAATGGACGATTAAGGTAATAAGCGCCACCATAGACGTTGGCAATTTTCACGAAAGCCGACCGCGAAAGTTAAAAGACCGAGCAAAATCGGGATAAAGAATCTTTCTGAACTTCTGCCTCGCAAGGTTCCAATTAACCGCGGAACTGAAATAACGGAGAATTCGCTGTCTCGGGAATCACGGTCTGCCTCGCAATCGTTTTCGAAACCGCGGATCCGGCCACGAGAGATCGAGAGAGCGAAGATCGAGAGAGTCGCCTCTGTCCACACGAGGGTTCCAAGAGGGAGAGACCCGTGAGCTCGAGAGGTTGGCGGGACCATTGTTCGCGCGGAGCATGATGCTGTTAAAGGATTCAGCTGGAAATTTCGTCGGCGCGACCTCCTTTCTCGCGCGGCGAAAAAAAAAAAAAGAGCCAGGCCTTTTTTCGGCCGGTCCAAGGCGGCGCAAATTGGAGTAGATACACAGACCCGTGTAGAAAAGCAAATTTGGTTTAGCTTTCTCGCTTCTCAACGGCATGCCAGCTCTCTTTCTGTTCGCGTACGTGTGCCTCGTGTATGCTAGTTTTCCGTGCATTTCTCCGTATGTGTGTGTGTGTGTGTGTGTGTATATGTTACGTGGCTGATGCACGTGAGCTCCGTAGGTTGATAAACTCTCGAGCCAGGGACGTATGAATAAAAAAGAGGACCCGCAGGCGGCCGTGACGCCGTATTGTCGTCGTCCTCGGCCGCCGACGACATCCTCGTCGTGAAACGTTGGTTCCACGGTGGTTTATCCTACCGCGAGTCGACAAAAATGGACTGGCTCGAAAGGAATCGAGCAAACAAGCATAGAAATCAAAAATGAAAGCTCTGCGAAAAGGTACCTAACACGTAGGAACGAATTAAAAATCGCTAATGTCAGCTAAAACCGAGCCGAAATTGGAGCCTCGTACATACGAGGGTCGACTAATTTTGATAAATCTTCATCCTACGTACAATAGATGTTTCTTCACTTTTTTTATTTTAGAATAAATAATATTTTAGGAGCAATTGCAGAATATTACTTGTCTGAAAATAATGATACGACGCATATATTTGTTATTAGATTCATTTCAGACGAAATCATTTTTCTACCAGTATGTATATACATTAAACAATATAGTAAATATATATCTAATACTGTAATATTTATGTAATATATGATACAGTATAGTAATATATGTACATATATATGCATCATTATATTTATATATCAACAACTTTATGTATATAACATAGTTATTTATATATATATATATTTATTTATTTGTTTTTATGTAATCTTAATCTATGCAGACCTTATTCTATAATGACATCACTAACAGAATATCATTCTCGATTGCAACTGAGCAAATCAAGATCAAACAAATAATACCAAAAGAAATCAAAGAGGAACTTCCATGAAAACTTAGAACGCAGATCATTGAAAGTTTTCCAATATACGTCAAACAAACGAAGAAATTATTTAAAACCGCCCTGAAATGCATCGTTGTTTTACAAAATGTTCGTGAACTTTGGCAGGAAAACGGGACCTAAACGTTATCCCACCTCTCGACGACTTCGCTCCGTTCAACTTGCAAGACTGTAATTGATATACGAGTTGTTGTTCCAACAAAACCGAGTTGTTATGCGGTCAGTTAAAAGCGAGACCGGCTGTTCCCGACAGACCTCGCGAAATCCAGGTCAATATTGACACGAGTATTGAAGCTTTCGAAGGTCTCTGGAATTAGCGGTACCTTATTCAACGACCTTTCGAGTTTCCCGGACATTCATCTTTCTTCCAGAAAAATGCTTCGCCGACACTGCGGACAAGACGCGGCATATTCCATTTTGCACTCTTTTTTTCAATCTCTGCGCTCTCGAAACCTGAGGAATCCCTCGCGAACGTTTCTGAGTTTTCAATTCCGCCGTTGACACCCTCGGATTTTTCTTCGGCGGAGCGTGATAGCAATGATTAATACTGGTACTATCCAGGAATGGTGAAAGTGATGAATTCATTGTTCTTCGGAGAAGAATTTTTTTTTTTTACAAGGTATTCTGCCGGATTTTTTTTTGTTCGTTCCATTGAATTCCGACTTTTCGCGGAACTTTCACTCCAATTTATTCGTATGATTCTTTCTCTTCGGTTCTGGTATGGTTTGATTAATTCCTTTCATGCTTTAACTTGAGTTAAATTTGACTTGGATTTAGATTAATGATTCTCCATTTGTTCCTTTGCGATATATACTTTTTCATCGTGGTGTATTTCGAGAGATTTTCAGTGAATTTTTTATTCGTTCCCTTGCATTCTGACTCTTCGTAGAAGTGACTTTTCATTTTGCCTTCGTTCGGTTTAATTTTCTCTCGTATGTTTGAGTTAGATTTGGCTCAGATTTAGATTAGTGATCCTTTATTGCAATAGATATGATTTTATATCACGTATATTTCATACTTTATATCTTATATATGTCTTTTATATTTTATTTTATATTTTTAACTTGCGACCATGTGGTTTGGAAGACTTTTAGTGATTTTTTGTACATTCTTTCATATTCTGATCTTGCATTTTGATTTTTATAGTACAATCTCTTTGCTTTCGATTTCATTTGATCAAATTCTTTTACATCTCAATTTGGATTACTTTCATTAATAATTTTTTATGTCTCTTTGAGTTACTTCTTATTCATTTTTTATCGTGGATATTTCGTAAATTTACAATGGTGTTCTAACTTCTGATTTGTCTAGTGTAATTTTTTTTAATTTTGGTTTAATTTGATCAATCCTCAGCTTGGATTATACTTGACTGTATGATTTAAATCAGATTTAAACTACTTCGTTTTACATATTTCTTCACAGACATTTCATTTTCATTTCCTCGATTTCTTTTATATCTTCAGTCGTTTTCTTCAGTAATTTTAGCACCAAATAAGAAGCAAAAATGTACATCGACGTGTCGAACACTCGCGAGGAATGTTCACGCCCCGGCGAATAAAAATTGCAAGTAAGCTATTTTTTTTTTCCCCCGTTGAAGTCGTTATCGCGTTAGTGGAAGTGTTCGCGTTGTCTTCCTTGAGAGACCATTCGCACGGTCTCACGGGTAATTTGAGAAAATGGAACTGACTAAGGAGACATGAAAGAATCATAGGGGCAGCTTGTTTGCCTTCTAGCTGCGAACGACACCGTTATTAAGCTCGCTCCGGTCCTCGTTACTCTTCAATAAAAAAAAGAAAGAGAGAGAGAGAGAGAGAGAAAAAAAGCTTCGAATAAATTGCTCCAGTCGTCGTAAAAATCGACGGTTCGGAGAATGACCGAGGGAAATCGCAAGAAACGTATCGATAACATCCTCGTTCCTTTGGAACAACCTCGGCGTTCAGGTTTCAAGATTCGTAGGACAATGAATCCGAAAGGTACTTTAATTTTTCTCGGTCCTTTCTTCATCAAAGAAAAGACGACGCTCTCCGATGGCGCGGAGACATTTCCATCGAAAAGAGCGGCTGCAATTTCTTTGTCCTTGCAAATTAACAGCGGCAATCCTTCGTATTTTATGATAAATTCAAAGAGAAGGGTTTCCAACAATAGTACTCGCATATCTAATAAATAAGTTAATTATTAATAATAAGTACTAAGTATTAATATTAAATTAATAAGTGCTAAGTATTATTAATATTTAATATAATATCTTTATAAAAGAAAATAAAACTTTCTATCAATTCCCTATTATTTTAAATAGTAATTAAAAGTTTTCTTTGAAAAGTTCATTTTTTCTTCGCAATTATTAATAACATTTTGAGCAACAATACTCATCATTACATGTAAAAAAATAAAATCACGAATGATCTCAATTTAATATTCGAAATTTCTGTAACGCAAAACCTAGATTTCAGATTTTACACACATAAAATTGTTGAATATAAACACACATTTCCGAATTTGTGCGATTTTCGTTCCATTTCCCTCAAAATTCTCCCAAAAAATGTGTGCGCAACCAAACTGCTTTTACTGTTAGATTTTGAATTTTAGAAACAAAGAGAAATATTGGATAGCGTAAATGCATGCGATTTCTATTAGATGAAAGTAAAAGCTTCGCACACTGAGAAATGTAATTTCCACTTAAATACATTTTACGTTATTTCAACAAACAAAAACTGAAATCAAAATATTTAAAAGTACAATAATCGTTTTTTGTTTCACTCTAACGTTTAATATGTGACAAGTAAGTTGCTTTTGCTTTCTAAAAATATTTTACTTCGTCATTTTCAAATTATTCATCAATGAAATTTAATTATTATTTGTTAATTAAAAGAATCATACTCGATTTCTCGGATAATATGAAAACTGTAGAATAGTGGTTCTTACAAGTGTTCCGGCAAATTACAGAACTTACTTACGAGAAATTCTGCGAAAGAAACGATGTGGTTTGTCATTTATCTATTTTTTTTTCCATTCGATGAACTTTAAGGACTTTAAAACGAAAGCAAACGATAAAGAAATGAGGGCATCTATGTTACAGCTTTAAATTCGCAAAAACCAACGTGCACACGGCTATCACATCGAGACTGGTCTAAAGAAGTTTTACAAAAGAATTATTTTAGTTACAGTTTCCATAAATATATTATTTCTTATTATTTAATTATTAATATAAAATTATCATTTTTACTATTATTTTAACTTACTTTTATCATTAACGTTTACAGTAAAGATTATATTTTTCTCAAAAGAGGAAAAAAAACAACACTGCTTTCTCACCTCGGGAAGGTAAAGAAGCAGTGTCTTCGAAGAAACCACAGACGGTTATTTTCAAGTCGTTTCGTTCTGATAACGAAATTATATTGCATCTCCGATAGGCGAGGTGAAAGGCGAAGGAGGCGAAACGCTTGCCCTTCTCCTTCCTGAAGTCATTTCCCGATTCGAAATAAGAGAGGGACAAGGGGAATAAAATCGCAATGAAAGCGACCCGGTCGTTCCTCACTTTTTACGAGCGCGCGATATATGCACGACATATTGTCGTGGTCGCTTGCTCGGTTCGCGTAATCATCTCCTAGCTGGAACGGTCAGGCAGTAATAAAAAGAAGAAGACAGTGGCAAAATTCCGTTTATTCTCGTTCAATTTTTACGCGAGATTGCCGGTCGACAGCCTCGCTTTGAGAAAAAAAACCTACCGGGCTCCCGCAACTCGTCTAGGCTGACCCAGAAATCCGTAAATTCGATTTTGAAAAATCTCCGTAAGCTCAGCAACGTGCAACGGCCGGAGTGGTATCGATGGGCTCTTTGAAGATATAAGGACGAGGATATAAGATCGGGAAGTAGATTCGGACGCTACTGGTCGATCTCTTTGATAAATTCTTTTCCTACAGTCTGTTGAACTGTTTCATCCTCGTTAGGCGTATGGTCAACAAAGTTTGTTAGTCTCTGGACGTTTCCTTTCAACAAGAAATGTAACATGATGTTTAAAGTTTATTCTACTAGCTGGACAATTTTCTAGACTCCTCTAGACTCTTTTGTGACTGTACGTTACAAACGAACGAATCGCCGAAAGTTATTGCTTGGTCTCGATCCACAAAAGTTTGAGAATCGCTCCTCTATCATGCTTTATGAATGCAGATATAAGACGTGCAAGAAAGCTTTTAAATTCGACATATGTGAAACGAGATCTATCAGACGTCGTAACGGAACCGTAACGGCACTCGATTAATTCCCCTCTTTTTATCCTGCATACCGCTCGGTATACCCAAGCAACCGATGAAAAATGCAAATAACAGTCCTTGCCCGGCATTAAATTTCCTCGAAAAAAAGAATCGCGCGGTACCGGCAATTTAATGGCTGTCCATTAACGAGTTGGCCAACGGTCAACCGCCAGAGCTCGTTACCGCGCCGTATCACGGCACAGCGAACGAGAGAAAGAAAGAAAGAAAGAAAGGAAGAAAGAAAAAAAAGAAATCTCCTTATTATCGTTCAAATGTATGTATGCGTGTCGGCGTTGTTTTCAGACCGACAAGCTCGCGACACGAACCACTGCCGCGGGACATTCTTCAGGCTGAAGTGGTTGGACGTAATGGAAGCTGCTCCAAGTACCGACCGCAATGCCCCGTGGGACTCTTCGACTTGATTGGAGTCCTTGACTGAGCTCTGAAAAACCACCGGCGGTGCACCGCCCGCCTGCACTCCGATCGGGTAAACAGTTCGATTTTATGCCTGTACTTTCACAGTTTCGTCCCGACGCTTCGATTACGAGGAATATGGTAATTTAATGGATTGATCAGTCTATCGTGCTGCTTCCTTCGAACGAGGTATCTGTTTCAAACTCAGCGGGGAGTGTACCCGCGTACACTCTTGCGCGTGATGCATCAGAGCATCTGCTGGTCGAGTAACAATTAATCAGAATTACGTAGCAATTAATTAGCGTTAAGCCTGGAACAATTAAGAGTAGCTGTACGATGTGACTATCTATCGTACATTTTAAATTATAAAATTTCTTACCACATGTATGTACACATATTGAACGTTGAATAGAGGGAGAAGATCATATTAATACCGAAATATCAATTTTTGCAATAATTGTCTGTACATTTTGAAACATATAATTAGATCAAAATTTTGGCAAACATTAAACGGTGTATATCTAACTGTAAGAAATGTCACGCACAATTATAATTATAATGAATTTACGTACATTATACTAGGTAAATGTAAGATTTTAAATTGTATAAAGTATTTTATATCTGTATTGTCCACCGAGTTGAAAATATAAAAAACACATTACTTTGGAAGAGACTTCAATTCTTATCTGTCCCTCATATGTTTCATAATATTTTATTTCATTAGATATTTTTTTATTTCCCCTCGAACAGATGTATCATCTCCTAAGAATATCCTATTTATCCAAATTGATTCATTCTACATAAATCTCCTCAACCATTGAGGATTAAGCAATAGTAATAAATATCAGTTTCAGCAATTTTGAAGTATATTGTCAAAATAATCATTCTGGACAATTTTTTTCTTCCAGCTGTAAATGTAGACCTTGGTTTCCGAGATATTTATAACAAAGGATGAATTATCGAACAGGGCAAACCGCAAAAATTCCCGCAACGTTATGAATACTTTAATTTCTTGAAATTTCATGAAATTATAGAACTTCGATAAAAAGAAAAGGAAAGAAAAAAATAATATCCGAATTCTCGAACCTTCTTCTCGTTATTGCATTGTTGGAAAATGAAATTTCACAACATAAACTGATTGGAAGAGAATTACAAGCCTAAATGAGTTATATAGCTAAATCTCGGAAACTAAGGTCTACATTTACAGCTGGAAAAAAAAAAAATTGCCCAGAACGATTATTTTGACAATATACTTCAAAATTGCTGAAACTGATATTTATTACTATTGCTTAATCCCTCAATGGTTGCGGAGATTTATGTAGAATGAATCAATTTGGACAAATAGGATATTCTTAGGAGATGATACATCTGTTCGAGGGGAAATAAAAAAATATTTAATGAAATAAAATGTTTAAATATCCATCAAACTTCCTCCTGTTAATTCGTCAGTCGATAAATTCCTGAGGAATTCCGTCTGGAATTCGTGGAAGATCGTTTAATCACAGGACCGAAAAAGAAATGGCTATCCTGCCGAGAAGGTGCCGTTGTTGCCGTGACATTACGACGGTCTAAAAGTCCCTCGAGTAACGGATACATGACCGCAATTTATCGCCCCCAAAGAGGGTTTAAGCATAAAACGAGGAAAACACAGCGTTATCGAATTATCTCCGGTGAAACCTTCTTATACATCTGCGCGTAATTACCGGATCGTGAGTTCCAGGCGTGTTTGGAAATCGGCCATCAATTTTTCCATTGGTTCTTTGGAATCTCTCGCCAATGTTTTTATTAATTAACACTTCGTTTCCACCGTTTAACCCATTTGCATCATGAAGCGGAATATTCCAGCAACAACAACAACTCATTAAAAGTTTAACATTTATAATTATTAACGCTAGAATTGCCAAAGTGGTGGAATGTAACCATGACCGGTTTGTAATTGAATTTTCCATTGAAATTTTATGTTCTTACAACAGTGTATCTTTAGAGATTCGAATGATTTTTGGAAAATATTTTAAAATATACATAGAAGATATAAATAGAAGATTGTGTCCTTTATTGGTTTATAAACTTTTCTGTTTCTCGCATTTTTTAACTTCTCTGCTAATGTTGTAATTCAATTGTCGGTAGCTCTAGTATTAATAATTACACTATCGATTCAATGATTATATTAATTAATTAAATCCACTTATTTGAACCTGAATTCCTATTACACAAAGTTACTAGAAAACTAGAAATTACTATTGTATTATATGAATTCCAATTGCGAATAAACTATTTGTTCCTGAAGCAAATTCGTACAAATGAAATTCTACTGTGCATTAATATGATTAATGAATCATCCTTTGTACTCTGATATTTCATTATAATCAGTTAGCATACTAATAGCATTAAATATAACCATCATGTTTCTGAACCTAATTTATCCTTTGGTATCCAATTGACATAATAACAAAAGATTATTATTAATGAAAAGATAAATACCTGAATTTATGAATTCTTCAATTGGCAAATAAACAAACTAAATTTCTATATTCAGTTGCGTGTAACTCATCGATAAATAATAACATGCTTTCACCTTTGTTACCTCTTCAACAATTTCAACAATTTTCAACTTGGTCTTCATCTGTTTCTCCTGTTCTCAAAAATCGAAATGTCATCTCCATCACGGATACGTGACGCTCGGCACTTGATAGCACTTATGGTTGGTGCGTCACATGTGTTAAGTCCCGCTACCGAGCTTCGTACCAAGGTAAACGACAAATCCTTGTAACTAATATCGAGGGAAGTTTAGGAAGAAGCGTATGGAAAGAAGTTGGAGGAGTCTCGGAAACGTAGGCCAGGCAGGCTTTATGCCGGAAGTTCGTAAAACCGGCTGAATTTTACAGCTGCTATGGGTGTGAAGGCCATGAGAATTTCGACACAGGCGGAAGTAAAGCCGGATATTTTACAACGCCAACTTCCAGCCAACTTTCGCCAAGTTTCATTAGGAATTTAAAGACCGGAGTGCTTAAGCATACGTGCACGCTAGTTCCAACGTTCCGCTTCGATCTCACCGCGCGCGTACTAGTCGCTAATTCTCCTAATTTGTTATCGTCTGAATGTACAGGGTGCCATTGATGGTACAATCGAGCAAGAGATAAAAAGAAAAGAGAGAGGAAAGGAGAATAAGAAGAGAAAGAAATTGGGAAATAAATTCCTTATAAAATGGAATAAATTGAGAATGTGGAGTAAAATCCTTTACGTACGAAGCATCGTTTTAAAAATCTGCCAGGCGATTTTAATTGAATTTTTGGTAAACTTTTGTTTCTGTTTTTTGTAACAATGCTATTTTCTGCTTCTCGTCATTATTACTAATATCTATCAATTTGGATTAATATTCTCCTTGTATTTTATTTGAGTAGACACAATTACCACACACAAGTTTTTGAACACGTCCAAATGTATAAAATATGTTTCAAATATAATGTAGTTTTCGTTGATTTATCTCTCGTCTTTTATCTCATCGCCTACGCGTTTATAGGAAATTTAAAGGTACACACAATGCAAAAATATTATATATAAAGAGGAACGTCAATGTTCTAAGTTCAATAAAATAGTAAAAAGAAAAAAAAAAATTGTACAGCAACTTTCAATCGATCGATCGAGAGAGAAAATTTCAATTTACGAGACCATGGTGTATCTGATCCAGCCGTGAGAAAAATTTTTTTCAATATTTTCGGAGACGTTTGAATTTTTACAATTTTCGAGAACAAAAATACATTTTCACTCGATGTATGATGTAGGGGAAAAAAACGGGGCTGTCAAAGTAGAGACCTTACGATTTAAAATGAGACGAAACATCACAAAAAATTATAGTAGTTTAAAATATCGACTATTCTTCGACGTGTTAGCCATACGAATTATGCTCTTCGCTCTATATATTAGCGGCGGAATATAATTGAATATACTTTTAATGACAAAACAATGAACAGCTTTGAAATCAAAAGTTTTGCGACAGACCAAGTCCCATGTGGTGTTAAGTTTCTAATCGAACTGCAAACATATGTGGAAGCTTTGATAACTGACAATAAACCCGACGAGGGAAACTCCGCCGACGCGATCAATGTCCCGGTTGGCTAGCATAGAATCCTCGGACACTCGGCAATTCCGATTTTCCAGATTACGGGACCTCTGATCCTGATTTTGCCGGATGAAGTTACGTCTATAGGCTGCGAGTTAAACTCACCGACCGGTTTCGTCGAACCTCCAACGCTCTAATCCACGATAATTGTAAACGCGCGATAAACAGAAGCAAATAAATCATTCGCCATCGTGCGCCGATTATACACGTGTCGATGATCGCTGTAATTTTACCATTTCAACAACAAATGTCCAACATGTCGCTAGGGGGCACAAACCGAGTGCAAGATGATTTCTCGTGAATATGTATTTGTACGTCAATATAGATATTAATCTATATAATCCATGTAGAGATTTGTAATATTATATTCATGTATTTATCCTGTGATTCCAGGGATGAAAATAACCTTTTGTAGGAAATTTTAAAGTGCAAACTCGTATTATGAAAGATATATATACATATATAATAATTGTATATATATGTACCATTATAATAGTTGTTATTAATAATTATTATATAGTCATAATACAATTATATAATAGTATATACAATGTAGTGTTCTCTGTATTTTTAATTATACTTTCAAAAACCTGAATTTTAAAAAATCCGCGGTCTAATCATAAACAATTTGTTTCAACGCTAGAAATACACTATATGTATTAACGCAATGTTTAATTTACAATTCTTCTGTATCAAATTCTATTTTTTAATGTTACGACTGTGAAAAGAAGTTCCAACACGATTCGCTCGATATCATTTTTCAATTCTTTTAATCTCTCTCTTCCTTTGAACGTATAACAATTATTCTCTAATTTTCTGAAATTTCAAGAAATCGATGTATTTATAATAAATCATTACTCGGACCGTGATAGATTAACATGCAATCTCTTTTTGTGATGAAATTTCTTCTTACGGAAGCGAATATTCTAACAGGTTTTCAATGAAAAATTCGCAGTGGTGCCGTGCTCTTGAAGGAAGGCTCACATTTCTATGGGGGTGACATAAACACGCGGAAAATTCACGAGTCCCGAAAGGTCCCGATTAATCAGCTTGTTGGCATGCAGCAACTCCGCAGCGGCTCAAGG